GTTCATCAATGATTCATTGTAATGTTAAGTCTCTTATGTTCATCAATGATTCATTGTAATGTTAAGTCTCTTATGTTCATCAATGATTCATTGTAATGATAAGTCTCTTATGTTCATCAATGATTCATTGTAATGATAAGTCTCTTATGTTCATCAATGATTCATTGTAATGTTAAGTCTCTTATGTTCATAAATGATTCATTGTAATGATAAGTCTCTTATGTTCATCAATGATTCATTGTAATGTTAAGTCTCTTATGTTCATCAATGATTCATTGTAATGTTAAGTCTCTTGCATGCTTTGAAGCTTAAGCTACCAATCAAAAAACAACCTGTCTGCACCTCCATAATATGTTGTCTTCTTTATGAGCTTATCCAATCAATGCCAAAAAATGCATGTCCCCAACCTATACCTGACCAATCACATCCAGTTCACCTCAACATATCAAGACACATATGTTTGAAAAGAATATAAGCAACTGCTACAACATGATGTGACTGTCATCATTTTTTAGCTTTTGTTAAAACCACATCTTCTTTTCTCCCATATACCTGAGCATAAAATCTCTACTTTCTACTAGCCCTCCTCCCAACCGGACTATATTATATAAATATGCATAGGCTCCTATTTTACTCTATTTTTTAAATATACCCCCCCCCCCCCCCCCCCCCCCCCGTATTGTCAACCTAAAGTGGAAAATTAATTAATTTTGTGTGAAATTTTTTTATGCAAAGAAATTTAATAACCATTTAATTGTTCTTTTAATTCGTTTGATTCCTTATTTCGGAAATAATTTGATAAAAGAATTCGTGAAAAATTATTTTTTCTGTATTAATTATATCATTATCATTTTTAAGGAAAAGTTTATTTAAATACATTTAATAATACATTTGTGATATTCAAACTTTCACCTGTTTTTAGAATGTAGGCATACAATTAAGCTGCTTAAAAGAATAAATGCATTTGTACTATTTTCTGAAATGTTATAAGTAACTACAAAAATGCATTGAAAGATTGATTCTCCATAGTGAATAAGGTTGAAACCTATTCTATCGTCAACTTTTAAATGCTTGTCACCAGATGAATTCTGCTGTATATATTTTTGAATATGTGTCTTGAAATATGAAACATTATTAGAATGGTGTATATTTTATTTCATTTTGAGAAATTATTTTATTTAACAAAAAACAAATTCTCATCTGTCACTTAAAAAAATAATTATGATTTGTGCCATTATAAAATATAAAAGCTTTAGATCTTTGATTATAAATTATTTACTTCTTTCAGATGTCTTAAATCCTCAACATGTGACAAAGCTCAAACATAAATTTAGCTTTCAAATCTCTTAAGTAATCTCTAACCCTAATGTTAAAGTCCCAGATATTGTTCTATGAATTTTTTTTAAAACAAAAAAACAGTTTGTATTAAGCAAAAATGTGTTCTCCTTTATTTTGTTGAATTGATTAAGTCTTATGTGAAAATCCTGATGTTAAAGTAGTCTCAATGAAGATTAGTACTCAGTACTGGTACTGTGACATTCAGATGAACATTATTTTAATTATGGACCACAGCTCTTTGACAATCTATGGTATTTGCCTGTCTGTGTTAAATATTTTTTAATGAACTTCTTTTCAAATAAATTGTTTTATGAAATGCATTCTTGTTTTTTTTTCTTTAAGACAAATCAAATTTTTTCTCTTATAGAAAATTTTTTTAAAATGGCAGAAAACAATTCATACCCTACTATGAGTTATTTGTTCCTGTATTTTAAAAAATCAAGAGGGATTTTAAGGGTAAAACCTTTTGATACTTACTGTATATTTTGACATATGTGTCAAAATAATCTCTTTTAAAATTATGCATGTATGTCAAAATCACATGTTTCTTATGGTAAACATGTAAAAACATGTTCTCTGAATCATTTTAAAACTTGATGATCTTTTAACATTTCCTGTGTAACTAGACTCAAGCTTTTATTGTATCAGCTGATTTTTCTGTGTAATAATTTTGTTTTTTAAATATCTCCTGCTTAAAGACTAAGTATTCTAGCTGCTTAATTTGTAACTGCCAAAAAGATGATGCACATGAGTTTTGCTATCTAGCCAAATATTTGTTGCCAATATATAGTTGTCATTTGTACTGCTAAGTAACTAAGTTAGTGCTGATTTGTATGTTAATGTATTTAGATATCTATTTACTCCTGTATAAAAGAAGAGCAGAGATATATTTATTAAGATCGATGTTTCTCCGCTAACTTTGGTAAGGAATGAATTCTCTGTGTGGGAAATAACAGGTCACATATTCGTTCTAGTTAAAAAACTTAAGTGCTGGATACACACACAATTGTTTTGCTTTTATTTTACTCTTCCATTATAATGGCAAGACAGACAAAGTTTTCAAACCAAAAATTTTGAAGTTGATTTTGATATTTTGATAATTGATTTTGTTTAAACCTCCAAAATGAGTATAAGGTCACATCGAAACCCATTTGCTTTGCTGCTCTATGATTTTTTTTTATACATAATAGTTTACATTTTTTGGAAAATATAATTTCTGCATTTATTATCATAGTTTTGGCATAAACTCTTTTTCTTCACACATCATTCTACTGGACATCATGTCATTCTACTGGAAATTGTTTAATAATTTTTTTGTTAAAATCAGCAATTAAAAATTAAATGTATTTTAATGTGCTTTTCATTTTGACCAATTAATTTTTTATATTTTCATTAAATATTCAATGATTTTAATATCTGTAGGAGTTTGTTTATTAAGCCCAAGTGCATGTATTTTACAGAAAGAGAGAGAGAGAGAGAGAGAGAGAGAGAGCGATAGAGAGAGAGAGAGCGATAGAGAGAGAGAGAGCGATAGAGAGAGAGAGAGAGATAGTTATTTATTTAATAAAACAACTTTTGATACAGTGAAATGTTGGACTGGAACTGAATTCTCAGATATTATTTTTGTTTACAGTTCAGTGTCAAAAATAGTCTCAGTTCAAGATTTGTTAATGAATACAATGAGATGAATACCAATTTTCAGATAGTTGCTGAAGGCCTAAAGAAGTACATTCAACATTGTTGTATATTATATTATTGTGTGTTGGTGTTGTGGACAGTGTACATTTTTTTTCCCAATAAATGATTATAATGATTCATTAATTTGTTTTACTTGTTTGTGACATTGGTAGTCTTTCAAAGAGGTTTCTAATCTAGTGTAGTTACATGTATGACATGTTTTTATAAACAGATGGAAGGATCCTCAAAATAAGATGGTTTGACAAAATTTGTAACACTGTCCTTTGGGAGAGAACATGGAGATGGTTAGGGCACACATTAAGGAAAACAAACACTAACATTAGTAACATCACAAGACAGGCCCTGAATTTGAACCTTCCCGTACCTGAAAAAAACCAAGAGCCACATGGAAGAGGGGATTAGAGGGAGAGCCGAAGAGAATGAAGAAAAGTTGGGCTGAGCTGGCATTATAGACCAGGACAGGGACAGATGGAAAAATATTATGGATGGCCAATGCTCCTTTGAGCTGAACTAGCAAAGATAGACCAGGACAGGAACAGAATGAAAATGAATTGTGGATGGCTCATGTTCCATTGGGATTGAGAAATGCTAAGAAGAAGAAAACGTGTGACAGGTCACATAGGGCAGTTAAATGTCCAAAAACTTTTACATTGACTTGTCTTTTGCCACCTGCATTGCATTCCCAGTAGCCCGGGTTCATGCAGGATGGCAACTCATCTAAGAGATGGGACCCGTTAACCTTAGATGGCAACCCAACTAAGAGATGGGACCCGTTAACCTTAGACGGAAGCTCCTCTAAGAGAAGGAAACTCTGAATCAAAACCCGGAGGAGTCCAAAAACATTAATACAATGAATAATTCTGACAACTCTTGCTACGCAACTCGTGCTAAGCTGTACCCTCCATATATGGCTTTCCCTTGGGTTATCCAGGTGCATAGAGAGATTTGCTGTCTAAGAAAAAATCCCAGGCCTTGTGACTTCGTCCTGCGAAGTCTACACCATCGTCACATTGTGACGGGCGGACGCCATTAATAAACCAGCATGTAAGTAAAACAAATTTAGCAACTTAGGCAACTTTAAAAAAAAATAAACATGTTAGAACGTCAATGACAAACAATAATGAAAATGAAAAAATTAATTGAAAAACTTTTAATCTTCAACAGCAATGAATTCTGGGAAAGTGAATTGCAAGAAATAATACTAAAGAAATGTTGTGGAGACACCTGGCTTTTAGCAAAGTCAACAAGTTTTCACAGATTTCATTATTTTAATACTATAATAATGTGTGAATTCATTTCATTTAAAAAGACATTAAAAAAAAACAAATAAAAAAAGATATACAATATTTACAACAAAAATATTTTGTATGTGAGTACTCTTTTTTTCACTTCAAACATTCCAGGAAATATTACCACAATATATCACACAACTTAAATAAACAAATCCTTGATAACAAAAATTAAAGGATAGACTTTTTTGTAAAAAATTTATGTTGACATTTTCCTTTTTTTCTAGGTTACCTTCAACATTATGCATGAAATTTTAGACCATTTGTACTAGCTGTAATTTAATTTAGTTGTTTAAATTTCTCTTATTATAATAAAGTAACGAACCACCCTGTGAGGCTTACAGTGACATTGCCTGCCACCATTGCTAAGTTATAGTGGGGTCGAAGGGATCTAGGATAATCCCCAGCTCTAGGCAAATCACTGTGGGGGCAGCATCAGCTTGGTGTGATCATTTAAACTTGCCTGTTATCGCAAAAATATCTTTCCAGTTAAATTACAGCTGCAAGATTAAATATGTTAATTTTCAAAAACTTTTTCCAGTTATTCAAATGAAAAAAAAAATTAAATAAAAAATGCCATAAATAATAATGAATAAATAATTTGCCATTTTAAGAAATGAAATTATAATTTGAGTAAATTTTAAAAGATTCTTATGATATTTTTGACTTGCTTTCGGCCTGCTCAAATGATAAGTGCTATACAAATTATGATATATCTCACTGTAGCTTTAATATTCATTAAGTTTATTGCAGCCAGCTCCCCTATTTGACAAATAATAAATCTATTCCCTTGTACTTGTACTCATGGGGAAAATAGAAAATGAAATTGAGTTAACATGTGGGAGAAACCAGTCAAAACCGGGCAGTTTCTCAGAACTCATTTCTGTAATTGCTCCTAACTCTTTAGTTTATCTGTCCTGGTCACAAAGGGTTAACAGTAACAGAACTAAATAAAGTGTATTCAAGGACATTAAATGTTCCATGTTTTGTTGTGACTGGAAAGATTTCGATAGGAGGTAAATGTTGCTGCTGCATTTAGAAGAAGTTGTCTACGCTACAAGTGAAACATTTGGCAAATCAATGAAGGAAACAAAGACAGTACTCAAAATTATTGGATGCAGTTACAGTCATTATTTTTTAATTTATTTAATAAAACGACCTTTTTTTTTTTTTAAAATTACATCAATTTCTTAGTGAAATATTGAAATCAACTTTCAATAGCATGTTACTCCTTAATGGCAATGTTAAATTAAATGCAGATTTGGATGATAAAACAATTACCCTCAAACTTTTGAAACAGAATAGCCAAATAATTATAGTACTTGATTAACAAGAGCAGTGACATAGAATTGATTAGTTAACTCTACATATTTACAAGGAAGATAATGTACAATTCTTAACTCTCCAGGAGAGCCACATCTCCTGTGGTAATTGTGATCATAATTCATACAACAATGCTAGAATGATATGAAGTAGCTGGAGACAGCTCCAGTGGACATATATGTATCAGACTAAAGCTAGACAAGATGCTCAAAAGTGCTCTTTTTTTTTATTCTTTTACTTTTACAATGAACAATTTATCAACTGCCATAAAAAGCTTTGAGTAAGTCAGAGAAATCCATCTTTTAAAGAAATTATTTTTAACAAGTAGAGCTTGCCAACTAAAGCTGTTAGTCGTGCGCTCTATCTTACATAAAGATACATTTTTATGTTCATCTTCCTTAAAATTTGTTGTTTTTAAAAAGAAAAATTATTTTCTTTTTAATGTTCATTGAAAATGATCATCGGATGTAGGATAAATTGACAAATTAACATCTTTAATATATAATTCTTAGCTTAATCTATATGTAATCGCAGTCAGCTGATTGGTTAAATGGTACATGATTTGCATAAAGTCTAGACATTTTGTTGTTGTTATGCCTTGATATAAGTCTTGTCGTGGAATAGCTCACTCTGGTGGTCCACTAAATACCTGGAATACATAAATACACATCAAACCTTTCATTAAAAGTATAATTCGCTGCCTCAATCACATTAAAATATAAACACATCAAACCTTTCATTAAAAGTAAAATACGCTGACCCTATCACATTAAAATATAAATACATAAAATTCCTGTTGGAACTTCTAAAAATATGTATGTCAGAACAATTTTTACACAGAAGTTGGGTTCACTGCTAATTCATAACACATTAAAAAATTTCAGTAAGTGTGTTGTAGGATAGTAGTAACAAAACTTACTGCAAACAGTGATGAATAAATTTAACGATAATCTGTAATTGAACATCCTTCATGTGCATCTTCTTCAAAAGCTCCGGCAACTTGACTGAAAGAAAAAAAATCTGATAAATAGTTTTTTGTAAAATATTAGAAAATTTTAACTTTTAATAATGTATGAACAAAAAACAAAAGTAATTAAACAGGGTATATGAGAAAATATGTGTACTCCCCCCACCCCTTCAAATTATTTTAGAATGCACTATTAAAAATGAAAAATATAAAATAAGTGAAACAAACAAGATGCAAATATGCTTATCTCACCAAACATTCTCAATAAATGCACTGTTCCATAAATATGTGACGGAGTAATGGGGCCATTAGCAATGACGTCTGGGGGCAGTAACTGCCATCCAAGGATTCTGTCCATAGCATCTTCTCTGCCCCGGGATGAACCCAATGTTAAGCTTTCTGTGCCAGCCGCACTGCATGCCACTTCCTGCCCATTCGAATGCAAGTGGTCAAACTGAAAACATATATTAAAATGATGACCAAAGTACAGATTTTTTTACCTTGGTTGTGAAATTGTTCCCCGTAGTCGTAAATATTTATTATATACCAGATAAATAAATTAGCAAAAAATTTTCATATCACAGACAAAAACTAATTTCTTCAAAGAAACGTCAAACAGAAAAAAAGACACTGATTTTTCAACACATCTGCAAAAAAAATTATAAACATATATATAATAATAGAACATGAATATATGGTTATTTTAATAGTCATAACCTTCCGCCAACTTGATTTGAGCAAGATAAAATTTAAGGTGTAAAAATCATTGACCTACCTGATTTGAGCCAGGTAAATCTAGAGGTGTAATATCCATGTCTGTGTCGCTGATTGGTTCCTGCTTAACAATAATCCCACTTGAGATTTCCACAACATCAAATTGTGCCCTTCGCCTTGTCCTCGAGGCTATAGGGATGATGGGTTCAGTTTGTGCCTCATTTCTCACTGTGTTTTTGGATGGAGAACACTCAGATGACTTAGGACTTTTCTGTTCTGAACCGGCTGATGATGCTTTTGATTTTGATGTCAGATTGTCTGATTTCGGCGTATCGTGTACACTGCGGCGAGTGATTCTGCGTGGTGGTGGGGGTGGTGTTGGCGGTGCTGCTTCAGAAGGTGGCGAAGATGAAAGTGCGGGTGAGGTTGGCCTGTGTGAATTGTGTTGCGTGGATCGCTCTGGCTTGTGGTTTGAGTTAATGTTTTTAGATTTCATTGTCTTATGGTTTATATCTGTTGATCTGGTTGAAAAAGAGTTTGAAAATAAATTCAAATAAAAATATTTTAATGATCATAACCTTTTCTATAAATATTTTATAAAATAATAAGTACACACAAACAAATGTCAATAAATTTATTTTTAACAAGATACTAAACTGACGCAGATAAAAGCAACTGTCTGAAAGAAATATACATATTAACTTTATTTATTGCATGTCAACTCCTATACGTCTTCTTGGATTGATTACATTCGTCAGTTCTTTCATACGTTGAAGCGTCGTACTATTCTCACTATCATAGATCAAACTCAACTCCTTTTGATAATAACTATAACTTTAATATCTAAGTAAATATATAAACATCCTATCACTCCAAGGTTCCACTCAAGACTGCCGCACGACTACAACATACGTCACAACACCGCATAGACAATACGTCACGACTCAGCATAAAAATACGTCATAAATACAATGGCGGGAAGAGCGTTCACTAACTATAATAGTCAAGCGCGGGAAAAGCGTTCAACAACTAATGAACATAATATTGATTTGCAACAATTCCTAAATGAACGCTCATACTCGACATATCCCCCCTCTTTCATTTCAGATTTTACTCAGGGAGTGAAATCGTCACCAGACATACAAAATTTACATCAATTACATCAAGAAGAACCCTTCAGCCATATGAATGGTCCTTATCAAAAAACATTATTTAGGTATCACTGAAAATCAAACAGATTTATGATATACTGCAATAAAATAAACAATCCTTCGTACATAATTTTAAATGCAATTCAAGAGTTAAAAATTCATGTACCACAATAAAAATCAGACCATTAAAATTGAATGTCAACATTAATTTTCATTTTTCATACCAATAAAAATAATTATATTTGTATCTCAAAAATCCGGGCAAATACATCAATATCCTTACTGAAGTTGAAACTATAACTAAGTTAATCCAAATCATATCATCAAAAAGGTGTATTTTTAAATAAAACCAATGGTCATCACTATAGAAACACAAAACTATCTAACATTATTACAGGTGAGAGATGTCTCACCACAATTTGAGCAGCCTTTATTTGCTCTTAAATAACACAGCTACAGATGGCGGGACATATCTTTTGTCCGTGGATTTCACAACTTTATGCTTCAACATGTTTATTATAATTAAAATTATCTCTCCCTGTTCTTTTGACCCGTGGTCATAACTCATGTGAAATCTCAGTTTTACAATACATATTTTTAAATTGTTACAAAATGAAAAACGAGTCTCATAAAAAAGAAATTCAAACAAAGCAGGAACTTCAAAGCAATCATGGCAACAGTTCATTTTAACAGATTCATTTTGTTTAACAATACAATTAAAAGCCTCACCTCCGAACTCATGGACCTGACATCTCACCTCCTTTTGAAAATCATAAACAAGGGCACCTTTAGAGCTGGCAGCGCTCTCTTTAACACTTTCAACATTGGTTTCCAACTTAATGTTAGAGCATTCCTGGCTCTCAAAATCTGGACAACCTTCACTCACATTACTTGGGAATTTATTTTCATTACAGCTATCTGTAACAATATGCGAATTTGAGCAGCCCTGGCTCACATTTACAGGTGATTCATTATCATTACAATTATCCGTAACAATATGAAAATTTGAGCAGCCCTGGCTCACATTTACAGGTGATTCATTATCATTACAATTATCCGTAACAATATGAACATTTGAGCAGCCCTGGCTCACATTTACAGGTGATTCATTATCATTACAATTATCCGTAAAGGTGATTCATTTTCATTACAGTTATCCGTAACAACATGTACATTTGAGCAGCCCTGGCTCACATTTACAGGTGATTCCTTATTATTACAGCTATCCGTAACAATATGAAAATCTGAGCAGCCCTGGCTCACATTTACAGGTGATTCCTTATTATTACAGCTATCCGTAACAATATGAAAATCTGAGCAGCCCTGGTTCACATTAACAGGTGATTCATTATCATTACAGCTATCCGTAACAATATGAAAATTTGAGCAGCCCTGGCTCACATTAACTATTGATTCGTCATCAATACAGCTCTCTGTAATACTATAAAATTTTGAGCAACCCTTGCTCATAACAACTTGTAATACATTTTCATTGCAGATCTCTGCAGTAACATCAAAACCTGAGCACACCTGGCTCACATTATCAACTAATTCATATTCATTACCAGTACATATCTCTGTAAAAATATCAACATTTGAGCAACCTTTGCTCACATTACACAGTGACTCATTTACATCACAATAATTATCAACAACAATTTTCTCTCCTTCCCCCACCTCAGGGATTACACTCACCTCATCAACTTCACAGAACAAATCAACTTCAGGACCTACATTATCTGATGGCTCACCATGAGATACAACAAAAATCATGTCCTCAGACATTAGAACAGGGTTCTCTTTGATTTCAATGCCGCCCGTTTCCATAACAACCAATTCATTACATGCTGTGGCGCTGGGACAATCCCCTACATATGTCCACCTAAGGTCATTTCCAATGACTTCTACCTTATTAAATTGTCGCCCCCTTTCTTCTTTACATTGGACTTCCTGGGATACACCAACTACTTCAACCTCGTTTTGACATTCTAAAGCTATATCTGTACCCTTTGCCACTGGGGGTATGTCAGCACGGTCAACGTTGTCCCTTTTAACGTTAGCCGACGGATCAATTAACAATTCACTGTCATTTCCATTAAAAAAAATTGAGTCGTCAGCAGAGGCAATAATATCATTTTGTTCCTCAGTATCTTTAGCTATGAACCGTGGTTGCGAGATCGGCTCTTGCCTGGGGTCAGGATCATGAGTATGTCCACCGTTATCCACATATTTGTTTTCACTTACATTAATAGGAAATCTATTAAAATTTTTATAGGGATTCTCACAGTGAATGCTGGCAATGCCATAATATATTTCTTCCCCTTGACTCTCGTCATCGTCACTGTCGCTATAATAATATGCCTGTCTCTTTAAAATAATTTCCCGTCGTTCTGCCTCTAATTTTGCCAGTCTAATTTCTCTATCAAGTTTATCTATTTCAAATTGCCTCTGACTCTCTTTATCTCTATCTATACGTTCTTATCCTCTAGGTTCTCTCCCGTATAAAGAAGTAACACACCCACATGCCTAATTTCTTCTAAACTCCATTTCCTACTGACATATCCAGCCATATCAATGCAAATTAAGGGTGATCATACAGTAAACAATAATTAAGTTTTAAGGACCAATCGCTGTCAACTAACTCTAGCAAAAATCTAAGTTCTACCCAGGTAAAAAAAATGTTAATACATAAGTCATAAGAAAATTAATGCCAAAAATGTTTTAAACAATAAAAATCCAACTTGCCTGGTTCGTGGAAAGTCCTATAGAATTTAAATATTATTCAAAACACACACTGGGCTTAATTAAGTGTCAATGGTTCTTTACTGTCAATAGTTCTCTCACAAACTTCAATTGTCCTATATGGCGATCTTGGGACACAGTCATTGAGGTGTGGGTGACCGGGACGGGTCACGGGACATCGGCAGCTCACTGGACAGAATGTAGGCGAATCGCCGACACTGGACAGTTCGTGGGTAACTCACCAATACAGGATCGGGCATAGGAAGCTTGATGCGGGACGGGACGTTGGTGGCTCGTTGAAACAGGACAGGGCGTTGTTAAACTGAGTGACCGGACAGGCCACAGGACTTCACAGCTCACTGGACACGAAGTTGGTAGCTCACTACCGACAGGACGTAGATAACTCGATATAGGGAAATGCGTAGTTAATTCACTGGAACTCAACTGGACGTTGGCGACTTGACGAAGGTCAGGGCTGGGTATTTCACTGGAACTGAACACGAAGTTGGTAGCTCACTACCGAAGGAACGTAGATAACTCGATACGTGTAGGGGCGTAGTTAACTCACTGGAACTGAACAGGACGTTGGCAACTTGATAACGGGCAGGGCGTAGTTAATTTGCTGTAACTGGACACGACATTGCTAACTTCATACAGGGCAGGACGTAGTTATTTCACTGGAACTGGACACGAGGTTGGTAACTTGATAACGGGCAGGGCGTAGTTATTTCACTTGAACTGGACACGAGGTTAGTAACTTGATAACGGGCAGGACGTAGTTATTTCACTGTTGCAGGTTAGGACATAACTAGCCCAATACAGGACGTAGGTGGTTGATGGAGTTACTGGCGTATGCAACTCATTAAAAATTTGACACACGTTGGCAGCGGGGCTCCGACATTGAAATACGGGAACAATGGACGATGGTTGTAACTTCACCAAAGTTGAATAATAAGAATGTTCTTGTAATTTACCTCAAGTATGAAAATAACGAGGTTCACCAATCCCGGATGAGAAGCCTCCATGTCAACTCCTATACGTCTTCTTGGATTGATTACATTCGTCAGTTCTTTCATACGTTGAAGCGTCGTACTATTCTCACTATCATAGATCAAACTCAACTCCTTTTGATAATAACTATAACTTTAATATCTAAGTAAATATATAAACATCCTATCACTCCAAGGTTCCACTCAAGACTGCCGCACGACTACAACATACGTCACAACACCGCATAGACAATACGTCACGACTCAGCATAAAAATACGTCATAAATACAATGGCGGGAAGAGCGTTCACTAACTATAATAGTCAAGCGCGGGAAAAGCGTTCAACAACTAATGAACATAATATTGATTTGCAACAATTCCTAATAAACGCTCATACTCGACATTGCATATGTTTTCAGTTTCTAAAGTTTTTGTGTCCCCTCCAAAATTGGTCTGTGTCACAGCACTTATTGAACATTGTGTTGTCCCATTTTTCAAGGCGTGCAGAGAACCATTGCGTGGTCAGATTCACCGTGAGGTGCAAAGGTCTTAGTGTACGTTAGCGTTTTAAAACAAAGTCTGAGCTTTTTTGTTAGAGCAGAGTTCTCTGCTTTTTTTTCAAGACCACGGATGATCATAATGTCTGCAGTCAACTTGTCTTCAGCTGGCTGTTTCGATCCCACCATTTAGTTACAAGATGGCGGATGTGTATAAGTGTTAGTTTATGCCTACACAAAATTTCATAAAAACACCTTCCCCACTCCTGGATTCCAAAGAAATCATTTAGAAAAAAAAAAAGCTATGAAAAAAAGTTAGAAAAAAATATCACAAATGCAACAGCGTCAACTGCAGTGATGGGCCCTGATTTTATAAATTCTTTGACACACCATTCAAGTGTTAGAAAAACATAATCTGTTTCTGTGAATACCAATATCCTAGGAAATTAAAAGGTTATTGGATTATAATTTTGATGACACCTAATTTTGAGTACCCATAAACTCTAAAAAGATCATAATTTTTTTTACAGTGATTCGTTGTCTTTAACACCAAATCTGTGAACTCCTTGTGATACACCAGATAGCCACACACAGGTTGAAATAGGAACAATTTGTATATTTAAAAGGGCATAATACAAGTACTATGTGTAGTATAAGGTTAAGTAATGTTTTTAAGTGAACTCACAACTCTTTGTCTTTAGCGTGCAGATCAGTAAATTTAATATCCTTCATTGCAGACTCGTACTGCTGCTGCTCTGCTGCATACAGGAGAATTATGGGTAGTGTGAAGTCAAAGATGATGCGCAGGCTGTCCACAAACTCCTTACATAGTGAAACACTGGGGATAAACAAGATTGACAGAAATACAATTAAGTTATTACAACGACAGCTAATTATCTTTAAATGTAAAAAGTAACTTTGTTGCGGCGGCCATTATTAACTGTTAAGCTTTGATACAAGCCGGATGTGAGCATTATTTTTTTTTTGGAACTAGGAAAAGAGGTGCTTAATCAGTTTTCATACTAGATGAACTTTCAACTGCCGCCTAAGATCCAAATAATATCTTGTCGATCTAGCCTTGCTGCAGGGAAATTTTGTAAAATGAACTTACTATTCCCCCACACCCCAATGATATTAGCTTCCTTAGTTTTGCAAAATGAGCTTAAAATTTCATCTAAAAAATTTTTTAGAGTCAATAGAGATGAAAACAATAAAACAAACAAAATTAACATGAATGAGACAGAAGAGTAAAACCTTTGCATGGTTTGATGTAAAGACTTAAAAATGACCGACGCCCAACAGTACCCACCATTTATCTGGGCTACACTTGAGGGTGTGTTTACTGCTGCTTGTCCTGGTCTTTTCACGTCCCCCGGATGGGTCACATAAATAGTTGACACAGAAAGTTTTCATGAAACTCTCCAATGTGTCCACAACGCAGGGCTTAGCTGGAATTTGCGTAAGCTAAATAAAATGAAAACAAAACTTTATAATTTAATTCATTGAAATTTAGTTTATTAAAATAAAATCTACATCTTCAAACTGATTCTGGTGAACAAATATATCATAAAATTTTATGAAATTGTAAAATTTGATTCAACTATTATACATTAAAAAATATGTTGTAACACAAAGGTACCGTCTAGTAAAATGAAAACATGGCACCTTGTTTTTCCTGTTAATGAGGAAGTAGTCATCTTCAAGTTGCACTTTTAAACTATCTGGGATTTCAAAATCAACAATGCTTGTTTTCTGATAAGGAATACACATGTAAAGGTCATTCACTACACTGAGATCAACACAAGGGAGGTCATAGTATGTACAGTGTTCACTCGATTTACTAAGGTGTTATGTTTTTTAAAAATATACACCCCCCTGAGATTAAATTCGTTCAAGCCCAATATATGTTTGAATATTATTGTTGCATCAATTTAAAATGCACAGTCAATAAATTTTAGAAATTTTTTATAAAATTAAATTTTTATGAAACATCTGAGAAATACCTGAGGAGAAATTGTAAATTGCCATGGTGCCAAGCTGCAAACAATTTTCTTTGAAAAGTTCCACCCATGACACAAACATGTTCAAATTTTATGAGTTTATAAAAAAAAACTAAATCAGATTAAGCTTTTATTTTTAAACAAAATTAAGCAAATTTAATATAAAGTTTTAAACTATTTAAAAAATATTAATGTAGGAAAAAAAATAAAAATAAATGTGCTTTGGTAGATTCCCATGTATTTTCCTAAATGTACCATGGTAGACTCACCTGTCTTTTTTTTTCTTGGCCCAGTTTACCTTTTCCAACTTTCTGCAAATATATTTACAAAAAAAGACTGATTTTCTGTGATTATTTATAAATGCAAAAACATAATTAGTGAGCTACCGTAACTAGAGTTAGTGTCTTTCCATATTTAATACTTAATAACTTCCAATTATTTAATCAATAAATTAAATCAAGTACAATTAACTTTCTTACTCATACATTGTTTAAACAATTTTTGTGTGGCTTACCCGTCCTGAATCAGATTCTTCCTCTGAGTCCTCACTTTCACTAATAACATCAAATTCTGGGGGGGCTCCTCCAAAAGCTTCATGTAAGATGACATTGATTTTTCTTCTCCTTTGACTATTTTTACGACTACTACATATGGACCAGACAAGATAAATATTTAGTTACTTTTATATTGTGCCATTAACAACAAGACTTTATCATGAACCAAAAATACTTGAAAATTTATTTTTAAAAAAACATTTTAGGTCTTTTGCTGCATCAACTTAATAAACATGTATTGTATAGATCAACTTACAATTTTTTTGCCGTTTCTGCCAGCTTGCGCATAAGCTCTCTATTTTCGTCCGTATTTCGCAACAAATAATGTTCTCCTACTTGCCTGTCCCAACTGTAAATAAAACATTTTCAAGTTTTTAAAATTTACACTACTACTGGAAAGGATAAAAATGTGTGTTTGTTTTAAAAATGGCTTCAGAAAGCTAAAAACTAACATATATTATATTAATAAAAAATAATTAGATATTTAGAAGATATAAATGACTGTTTTGTTATGTTTTCAAATGTATTACGGTTATTTAGTTATTATTACCTGCTGTTCCAACCTTGAAAATGCACAACATAAGCTGGCCTTTTCTTACCACTGGCATCTTTCACTTGTCTTTGTTCAACAACCTTCATATCAAATTGTAAAATTATAGATGTTAAAATCAAAACCAATGTATTTGGACATAAGTATGAGGCATGATTAGCTAACACTGAGAAACTGCCACTGATAATTCATTTCCTTTAATTTTGTTTAGGTTTAGTGCTTTATATCAATTTTGAAAATGTTTTTTTTTATTTTGAAGTGGAAATTACGAAAAAAAAAAAAAATAAATAAAGATTATTATATAAAACGCTTATCAGCATTTAAATTTGCTTCCCCATAGTGAAATTTTGGTGTTATATTGTATGGAAATTGATGTGGTCACTTACGAAAAAAATGGCAACATCCGCCACATTGACAAAGTACAACCTCAATAGTTTTAGTATAAGAACAAGGTTCAATCAATTTTCATTAAAAAATCAGGCTCCCAGAAACTTAACAAACTCAAGTTATTATAAGCAATATTCACAATTGGGTCAGAAAATGTGGAGGTGTAGTCGGGAGCCATTGTAGGTACTTCGGTAAAAAATTATAAAAATGTCAAACAAACTTCAAACAAATTAAATGAAGTCCGAATCAACTTTCTAGCTTCAGTACTTTTTGAGCTATGAATTTTTAAAATGTGAGTTCATTTGGTATTTTTTACTATGGGTATGGACTGCACCTCCACAATTGATCGGGTCACACGCTATAATTCTCCTTTAAATTATAATTTTATACAACTTTTATTTGCAGGATTTATGCTAGTTTCTAATATTAACTTTAATTTTTAACTATCATGCAATTATAAATACATTGTAACTTATCTAGCAAATGTAATATTATCATTAAACTTAGTAAATATGATATGGATCCTCAGTTCACTAAGTCTAAGACGTCCATTATATTATACATAGAGACTTTGTAAGGCAAAGCGTCGCCATAAAAATAATACTGGTTTTGTATTGCTTATTTTGAAAATTTCAACTTTTGCACATGAAAAATTAATTAAAGCTTTCCCTGACCAATGATTTAATAGTGTTTGCATGCGTCAATTCTTATGAATGAAACTATGAGATTAATACTATAGCAGTATAGTACATGTTAGTGACTGTGAATTGCTGCCCATGACAATGTTTTGCACACAGCAATTTATGATAATTTATAATATGGACTCTACCGCCAGGTTTTTAAATTAAATATTCTTGTTTCAATACTTTCTAAGTTCACTATAAAATAAAATTTATCAAATTCAAATATTTGTATGTAAATTATGGTAATAATAGGCCCCTATTTCATAAGTATTCGCATCTTCCGCCATTAAAAAAGGGGGCGTGGTCAAAATGGGGCTGAGCAACCTTATGGTTATGCATGTTACTTAGTCGAGCACAATTATGGCCAACAAGTCCTAGCTCAATGAGAATTGGCACACATATAGGCTAAAACTGAGGACGACTGCGATGGCGTCTTTGTGTGTTTATTATAGTTGCAGTGAATTAAGGTTAAGGTTAGGTTGAGGGATCGATTTAGGGTTCATGTTAGGCATAGACATCAATTTAGGGTTCAGGTTATGCATAGGGATCGATTTAGGTTTCAGGTTAGGCATAGGGATCGATTTAGGGATACATTCATGAAATTTGATAAAATAATGCCAATCGTCCACGTTTTTTACCCACATATACATCAATATTTTATATAATCATAATGCAGGGGAAGATTTGATATGAAAGACATATATTTTGAAGTTCTTAAAGAATTTTGTAGGGAAAGATGCCTTACATTTACATACATCTAGGAATTTCTAAAATTGGGGTCTATTGATCAGCAAAAAATTGTGATGTAAATATAGGCCTCGATGTCCACTACTGCAAACGTTTGAATGAATAACACAATTTTATGACAAAATAGTCCTTTCATCAATGAAAATCCACAAAAGGTCCAAAAATTAAAAACTTTGCATCTTCTGCACTGATTCTTATTTCAAATTTCCCATACAAATTTTAAATTAGTCTCCCTTGGTTTACCAAAGTGCCTAGCATAGTAAAAATTACCAAATGAACTCACATTTTAAAAATTCATAGCTCAAAAGGCACTAAAATTAGAACTTAGTTAACTTAGGCAAGGCCTGTAACTGCAGAATATAAAAATAAAATAATGTTTAAAGTAAAAGACAATAATTAATATTAAAAGTCAAAAGTGACTTTTCAGTTTCATTTCAAAATTTGTCTAATATAACAATGATTGGTATTTAAAATGGTTCACCTTTGCATCATATAACACCCTAGCTTTGGTTGCGTCAGGTTCAAAGCAAAGCACAATTTCTCCAATAGCATATTCATATCGAATATGTCGCCCTGCCATCTTTATTGTAAGAGGCTCACCGCGAAATCTTTATAAATTTGCCAGTGTAAACAATAATTTAAGTTAGAAGAGGAAATGTTAACTATTACGGTACAGACGAAAAATGTCGTAACAATATTGTCGTAAAATGAAAAGGGAAAGTCCAGACCAGACCTTTGAGCTTTGAACGAAAAGAAAAATAAATGATTGCATGGAATATACTTATTTAAAAAAAAATCAAACTTCATTTCCGTATTCGTTTTAATTATAATAGGCAATTAATTATGAATGGGTTAATCTTAGTGCTTACTTCCAATTCTATTTTGGACGGCACTACGTATACCACGGCAATACGCCTAGCAAAACCATTGGGTATCCGGAAATTTGATCGAAAGAAATTTCGTCGACGGTTAATTGATCGACGTTAGTTTGCCCGGAAACTGTTAATTGAAATATGCTCATTTTAACTATGAAATCTAACCTAGAAATATACTTGGGGCAATCAATCGTTTCTTATGTTTCACTGATGTGATGTGTTGTTTAATGTCTGAACGTCCACCATGACCAATACTAAAATCATTGCAAACTGTGCACTCGGCTTCACTTTCATAGCGTCCCTATTTAATATAGTTCCACTCTTTGGAATACTCATTCATAAACTTACATTGACGCTTGGTCATAGTTATTGTTTAAATGAGAAGATAATATAAAATTAAAGAATAAGTTCAACACCCAAAACAAACACCTGTACTCTGACACGAACAGGCCGGTAGGGATCACACATAAGACTAAGACATTACACGTAGCGGTAGTGGAATCAAAATTGTTTTCTGCACAGCTACATCCTCCCCCCCCCCCCCCTGCGGGTTGAAGTCTCGTGTCTCTCGCTATACATTTATTACATATAAGATCTATGGAAGGGACACTGTGGTGGAGAGGGAACGGTGCTGCCATCACGCGAGTCCACATCACTACTGGCACTGGCTACACAGCTAGCCAAAATATGATTTGAAGTTATATTATAAATTAGGAAGTTTTAGTGATTTGAAAATGTGTTTGGTTAAAAAAAAAAAGAACGGGACATTTAGGCGTCCCGAGAGACTTTTTCGGGACAACGGGTACGTGTGTGAAAAAACGGGACAATCCCGTTTTTACGGGACGTTTGGTCACCCTAGTCTAAAGGTACCCGGGTGCGAATGGCGGCGTTGCGTGCCTGTGTCCATTTTGACTCAATGCTATTCGGATGTCATTTGTTGTAGTTTATTTTATTTAAACTGAAGAATTAAGTTTACAGAAATATAGTCCATTCAATTATCTTTCATTTGATTCCTCATTTTGTCTTACACACCCAACAACAATATTTTAAATGTTTTTTTAATCCCAACCTCTCACTTCTGGTACCCGGGTATGAATAGCAACTTCGTTGTTTGTTTGGTTTTTTGTTGTTGTTTTTTTTTTTGTTTGGGGGGGGGGGGTGGTTATAAAATGTTGACATAATTTAAAAAAAAAAAAGGGGGGGGGGGTCATCGAAAGTTTGACAGTTGTTGACAAGGGGGTGGGGGGATCAAAAATTGCGTAAAAAGTGTTGACGTAATTAATGGACGACCCCAGTATCTTTACTGTTTGTACATTTTTAGATATTGCCATTTTACTTCGGAACATTTTTTTAAAAATAAGGCTTTTTCCTATGCCACTCCTTTTTATACAATATTCTAAGAACAAATAAAAGGTTTATGTTTCTCAGGACCTGAAGTTCTTGAGTTTATAAATAAACCAAATATATATTTCAAACACCTAGGTTTCACTCACCACACGTCTACATAATACAAATATATTTTTGAATATTCCAAGTTTATCCTGCAATTGTGAATCTTAAAGCCTAAAAAGGTAGCTAATTTGAAATTAAATCTTCTCTATGGCAGCTCTTTTTTATTCCTGCCTACTATTTTGTGTGTTTGGGAAAATGGGGTGGGGGTGGGGCTCTATAACATTTTATGTGATCGCATGGTTGGGGGGGGGGTAAACAAAATGCTTGGGAAGCACTGCCTTAAGTGTGTTGAAGTTTGTGTCGTGTGTCCCGTGACCTCTTTTTTTTTTTTTTTTTTTTTTGCTAATGTTGGCTTATATGCTTGGTTCAGTCCAATGAAATAATGACGTAATAATCAGGCACAGAATCGCATACAGAAATTCAGGATAATTATTAAGTCTACATTCCTTCTGCCGCCTCCCCCCCCCCACCACAACCAAAGCCACCAGTATGCAAAAAATCCAAAATCAATCACACCCCCCACCCAACAATGCGTACACAGGATATGGATGGCATTTATGCCATACTGATTTTGAAATGTAAATCTGGTGACTCTGTGCTCTTTATAGTCATTATTATATTTCCTGGCATTTCGCACCGTAAAATGCCGTGTGCGCCCGCGGACAACACCAGTGACAGGGGGGGGGGGGTAAAGCCACAGGTGGACAAGGGGTNTTATTTCGACGCCCTTTGTGGAGACCCCACACCAGAGCCGTTCTTAGGAGTTTGGGGGCCCTAGGCATGGAGCATAGGTTGGGGGCCCCGGAAGGGGGGGTCAGGTGGTGGAGCTCCCTCGAGCTGAGGAGAAAACACTACCCACCACTGCGGCATCTCCATTCTGCCTTCATCAATGTTTCCTCTTTCCCATTCCCACGGCCCCCCCCCCCCCATTTCCTGTCTGCCACCCCCAAAGCTCCCCCCCCTGCTGCTTCCCTTCCCCTGCCTTCGAATTCAACTCAGAATGATACATTTCAGGATGAGGAAGGTAACGTGAGTGACACAGACGGCTGCAGTGCCAGTTTAAAAAAAAAACGGGGGATCGAGGGCGCCTCATGGGGGCCCCCTCACGTTGGGGCCCTACGCGGATGCGTAGTCAACGTATGCCAAAAAACGGGCCTGCCCCCTTTGCCAATTGTTTTGTTTTGTGCCACCTGTCGTTGATAGTGTAAATTTGTTCCGCATCACAAATTTGTCCTCTTAAATATCCGAGGCCCCTTGCAGGACCGCAGCGACGGCTTTGTCCTTTTAAAACTACTAACCCCCGGCATGGATCTATTTCTTAACAAAAGCCCCCATAAATTACCGTTGATCCTGTCCCACGCGAATCGTGCATGGGTTTCTATGTAACAACAATTTGTTTCACCCTGCGAATAGCAATGCTATGGTCCCCTGGAAACGAGTGACGTCACACGGTTAACACAGACCTATTGCTTTGCTATAACTATATTTATATGGTCTGCTACTGCGTTGTGTGTTCTTAAAATCATGATGAAACAGCAAGTTTCCAAAAGATTTGCTACTAAACTGAGGGTTGAGAATGAACCGTGGATTTCTTGTGTAAATTTCGCCAACGCTTAGTGGCATAGTGAAAATTAATACGGTTGAAATGACGACCATGCACATAAAATCCATATGCTGGTATATTGGATATTCATAACAGATTTGTGAAAAAGCCATAGGCTACATTTACATGTAAATAAACTGCATGAAGAATGTTTAAACATATTAAAATATTGCTTAGATTCACAATTATTATGTGGTTATTATAAATGATACATATATGTAAATGCATTTTTGATTTGTTTTCTCATTTCTTCTGCTGTTCAATGTAGGCCTACATGTGTCAAATGTCTTCTTACGCTCAAGGTAGATATGTCCTATGACTTCTTATGCTCAATGTACATATGTCTTCTTCTTTAAAATTATTGAGCATGATTCATGATCATCATGCTGGATGAATATGAGAATGGCCCTATCGTTGCAAATAGCACCAATTTGCTTTGGTCTCAACTAATGTTCCCTTTAAGCTGCGCGGCCGCGCAGCCGCGCAGCTATCTCACAAACACCGCGCAGCAGTTTTGAGTATCCGCGCAGCAAATTTCCATGTAACAAATGCCAGTATGTGTTTGTATTTGTTGGCTGTAAAACTTTGCACACAAAAAAAAATCGCTGCTGTAAAACTTTGCACACAACTGTATGATTTTGCACACGAACCAACAAACCTTAGAGGGAACATTTGTCTCAACAGTTTTTGCTCATCATTGGTTTCGCTGTAAACCGTTCTGTGGGAGCCGTACGTGTGGCTTATCTTAACACAGCTTAACGACGTATGAGTTTTAAGGCCAGCACATGTTTTTCAAGTTGAAACATTAAATATCGGCACATAACGCATATTTAAATCGCTAAAATTTAAAAAAAGAATAAAATGTCTTTAAAAATACTATTGTTACTAGTTACAAATGAACATACTAATTTAATTAAAACATACATTTTTAATTTAACTGAATAAGAAGAATGTTTAATCTAGTAAAACCGGATCAGTATCTTGGAATTGATCCACAAATATTATATCGTCTAACGTTTATTCTTCCACATGACACAAAATCACATCTAACCGCCGTATCTTAAGACCAGGCCAATGGTCAAATGGTAATTTTTTGCCGCGGTGTACACCGGCCTAGGTCCATGGTTTTGCTAGGTACACCGCCGTGGTGTACGCAGCCACTTCGTTCTATTTTTAGATCATGGAGGGAAAGTGACACGTGAATTGTGTGTTTACAAACAATCCAAATTTGTTATCTTAACCGGTAAAGCCCTTCTTCCAGTTAAAGCATGGACAGGTTTGTAGTACTGAAGTAACCGTTAGATACCATGTAAAGAGCAAAATGCCATAATTGCAGTTAGAATTCGTATTTAATCTTAAATACCTAACTTTTAAACAAATGACACACATGTCTGAAAAATAATAACTTAGTCTTAGTCTTAAACTTAAGTCTTAGTAATAGTACTTAGTACTCTTAGTAACTCAGCTACTCAGCAGGGCTACTGTAATTACTAATGTAATTACACTTAACTATAACTATGACTATGAGTTGACTATAATTATAATATTATAACAACTATAATTAATAATACTGGAAATAGTAGAAATTACATTAAATAGGCCCATAACTGCTATTACTATTGGCATTGGGCCATTGGGGCATGGGAGCATAGGGCCAGGGCATATGTAGGCAGGCTGACTTAACTAACTAAAACCAGGTTCCCTTTCAACCTTCACTCACATGACGTAGTACTAGTACTATTACTTTAGTGCTAGTACTCCTGGTCAAGACAAGTAATAATTAAATAAGTCTAAGTAGTAAAATTAATAATAATACGAATAATAAATATGAGTATGAGAGTAGTAACTTTCATAAGTCAACTATAAATTAGTAAATTATAAGTAAATATAATAAATTATAACTCATGATAACCATATCATAATAGAATAGGCCATAATCATACAAATACAATATTATTATATTATGACTACTAGTTTTAAAAATATAAAAATTAAACCAATCAATTTTAAAAACCCACTCTTCTCTTTATTAGGCTAAGTTTGTTACAAGTTGCATACTGTACTGTAAGTGTATATTATAGGCATAGGATATAAAAAAACCAAAGAAATGAATATTCTTTTTTTTTGCTGGCATCCGTCCGTCACAATGTGACGATGGTGAAGACTTCACAGGACAAAATCCAAAAGGCCTGGGATTATTCTTCTAGAATTATAAGCTGGTTCCCAACAACATTTTGCTACTCTCCACGCCGCTGGATAACCCAAGGGAACATCATGTGTATGATACAGCTTGGCACCAGTGGCGTTGCAGGAGTTGTTGGCATGTTTCATTGTACCAATGTTATCCGCCTCAGGACTCAATCTCTGGGTTTGAATTCAGAGTTAGAGTTTTAGATTTTCCTTCTCTTAGATGACTTGCCATCCAAGTTTAACTGGATGCTGCTGATGTTTTTTGCTTGACTTCGGCTTTGAATTAAAGACCACCAACTTGAGATTTGCTCAGTTTAGACCACTCGGCCACCCAGCACCCTATCTATACTATATATAAAACTGTTATCAGACCAGTTGTAACATGCAAGTTATACTTGGACGATAACAACAATGGCAGAAAACATATTAAATTAAACACATGGGAGAGAAAAGTTCTCCAGAAAATACAACGATCAACAAAGGATGAATATGGCTGGAGAATACGAACCAACCAGGAATTGTATGCTTTACAATTTGTGTAGACTATCAGGATCCCACGCTAGTAGCAGAAATAAAAAAGGGCACACTATGCTGGGCAGGACACTTAGAAAGAATGCCAAATGACAGGAGTGAAGAGGGTGCACCACCAAATCCCCAGGGGAAAATGGCTGAAAAGCATACTTAGGTTTAGATGGATGGATGATGTGGAAACATATCTAAAGCAGCTAGAAATCCAAGCATGGAAAAGAAAAGCGTCAGTTAGGTGTGAGTGGAAGGAAGTGGTGTGGCAGGCCATAGCCCTACATGGGCTGTAGCACCACAGGGATGCATGGATAGTATAACGGGCTACTTAGTACTGATTTGATGATTTGGATTACTGTACTCGTAATTGTATTTTCATTTTAAGTAGGTTGTGTGTTAATTAAAGTCCGACAGAATCTCCAGTAAATATTTTAAAATGGATGAATATAATATTAAAAAGAGGTTTGTGCCTTAGACTAGTGCTTCCGAAACGTTTAATTTTGCGTAATCATTGGACAAATTTCCCTTTGCACCATGGACCAGTGCCAGATTTATTACTTATTTTTCTTCAAATCTTAAATGTATAAAAATCTATGACATATCCATTATCCAGACTCTACACCTACTGTATTTCTACTTAATGTTAACTGTTATCAGATGTTTTGTTTTATATGGCTTTCCAAAATAAAAAAAAACTATAATAGCAGTTTTAAAATTATACTTAGTTACAGCTCAACTCAATTAGAAAAGGGCGAATGTCATGTTTAATGTACAAATCTTGTTTTTTTTATCACAGTGGACTTACTTTTCCTCTCCTCTGTCTCTTTTTGCTTGCATTTACTCTCTCACCTTCTTATGTTTTGTCACTTACCTCTTGCTGTCCTCTTGGATGCTATTACAGCTAAATGTTATTTTTATTTAATTCTGTTTTTACTGTTGTTTGTTCACTGATGACTTCTTGCAGACACGTTCGTTGTTTTCTTGAACCACTTTTTCAGGTTTTCCCATAATTTATTTAGATCATTTCCTTTATTATGACCTGATTGCAGCCTCCCCCCCCCCCTGTTACCATTTAGTAAAAAACCAATTTATTAAATAAACATAGTAAATAATTTTTGTTAATTTTCATCAGCGCAACATCAAGCCCATCGCCTAATATTGTCAAATGCAAGCGTGTAAATTATTTGGAATGGCAGGAGTATTTTATGTCAATTGCATTTTTAAGTGCACAGAGAAGCAAAGATCCAAGGACGCAGGTAAATAACTGTCTCTGCAGATGCTCCACTTGATATTATATAGATAATATTTATGTACCTGGTACCATACCAGTATGGTTAATCCATTTTAAACTCTCTTATAATATAACACTAATGTTGGCAATAGATTTCATAGGATGTTAAATTAATTACCCATCAGATATAATTTGTGGAGGAGTAACCATTGTTTCTATTTCCTTAAAAAGGGCTTGTTTTGTTGTTGTTGATTTTAATGGTGAAAATATTTTTATAATTCTTGGGCCACAAATGATATCTCTGTTTTATTTGTCATCTACAGGTTCATGGTTTTTAAGTTTAATATTAGAGTAGTCATATTTTTTGTTTGTTTCAGTTTCAAATTTTTATTTGGAGAGTATTTTTTTTTTTCAAAAATCATCAAAATGTTCTATCAGATTTAAAAAATTCACTATAGAAGATTTATTAAAGGAGAGAAAAAAAGCACACATCATTTTCATTTTATACAAAAGGTTAAGATTGAGAGGTAATCAAAATTTTTTTAATTTAAAGGAAAAATATTGACTGTTTAAATTAACTTTTAAATCATGGGTCACCAAACTTTTGTCACAGTTGGCCATCTAACTGAAAAAATGATGAGCGCAGGCTGCATAATCACTCTGTCGTCTGTACAATACTTGCAAGCCAGAACAAAAGCTCTGGGAAAAAAAGATGAAAAGCTAAGTTTAATATTCCATGTTAATTATGGGTGAGTGACGTGGAATGCACAAATAACAAAGACAACCGACATAGTTATTTACTAAAAATAAGTTATCAAAGAAGGCGATGTTAGCAAAAAGATAGTTACATCAGACCTAGGGCAAACATATCGGAATGTCACAAACTCGGCAGCAAAAAAAGGTATGTGAGATTTGTGAAACTGACGTTTGGCTCTTAAGATATCATCAATGTTTGGTTTGGAATTGCTGCATCCAAATACCAGCAAGAGAATAGCTTCCAAAAGCTGATCAATAACCATCTTCCATGTTTTGAATTCACATACTTCATTTTTTAAAATGTTTGCTCACAGACATATATGTTTTTCCAAACACTGATGCCATACTAGCTGCAAATTGCTTCAGTTTTGGAAACTCAACATCAGGTAAGCAGCGGTAAAATTTAACAACTTTTCCTTCTCTGTGCTTCTCTTTCAACAAGTCATTTGCTTGGAAATCAATGAACTCTATCTGTGTTTGAACTGGCACGTCGTCAAGGTTACAATCAAACGGCTTCTGGAACTGAAGAATGTCATTCTCAATCCTGTCAAGATCTGAAAATCTCTAAAAAAAAAAAACTGCTTCTTTAAGACCCGAAAATATTTTTGTAAAAAATGAGGTTGACATTTTCATCGCTTGTAGCTTAAAACTCTTTGAAATAGTGAGAAAGAGGAAAGTTTTGACCTTCCATTTGTGCTACAAACAATGAGCGCTTACTCCAAAAGCCTTTGATAATTCTGTAGAGATCACAGTTGAGGTTATCTTTTCCCTGAAGTTTCAAGGTCAATTCATTCATATGGGATGTGACGTCGACCAAAAATGACAACTTTGACAACCAGGTAGGATCTGACAGCCAGGTAGGATCTGACAGCCAGGTAGGATCTAACAGCCAGGTAGGATCTAACAGCAGGGTATGATCTGAAAGCTGTGGATCAGCTCTATCTTTTTCAGTGAGAAAAACATCTGTTTTTTTAGGAGGTTGCAAAAACGAAGCAGGACTTAACCGCATCTGAGCCACCTCACTGCTGTGTGATAAGGCAATTTCAGAATTCAGAATCAATTTCTTCAAGAACAGTTTTGAACTGATGGTGATTGAGTGCGAGTCCCCGAATGAATTTCATATCAGAAACAACTAGTTTCAGTACACAAGAAATATTTAAGTCTTTCTCACAGAGTGCATCCTGATGTATGATGCAGTGTATTAAAAGAGCACCTGGAATTTGAAAATCTTCCAACTGAGTCCTGATCTGCCCCACCAGACCCTTCCTCACTCCAGCCATGTCTTTTCCTCCATTAAATGTAACACCTTTAAGCTTATTCCACTGAAAGTTATAGTCTTGCAAAAATTTTTGCACTTACATGAAAATGTCTTTTTCAGTTGTTCCATGCATGCTGCAAATGGATGCTAACTCTTCTGTCACCTGAAAGTCCAAATTGACACCATGAATGAACACGAGAAGTTGTGACGCACTCAAGAGATCAGTAGACTCGTCCAGCACCAGAGAATACCTTATAACAAGTTCCTAGCCTTCTCATGTATCTGTAGCACTGTGTTCTCCGCTCAAGTGAGCTTTCTGAAAGGCTGATAGTTGCAAACAAACTGGCTTTCTCAGGACACAATTCATTTGTTGGTTCCAATACTTCCATCATACACTCTTTGTTGAGTTTGCTATCAGTAAACTGTTCACCTCGTTCTGCCTTTTTATGCACTATTTTATAACTTGTATGAGGGACACATTCATTTTCACCAAACTTTCTTGTGAAGAGATTTCTTTTGGGTTTCTAAGCCACGTTTCATAGACTATTATTTAATTTCTCAGAGGGTAACTTTCCAGACAACGTTGAATATGTTGATAGATGTTTTGTTTCATAGTACACCGAAGATTGTACCCTTTCAAAATAAACAGCCTAAAATAGTGTTTTTGAACCAGTGTCCATGAGTGACAGCCAAAACAGACCAAAATCGCCTAAATGCAACATTTCTGCCCATCAGGGTTATTACATAAAATAGGATAGACACTTGTATCATTGCACAGAGTTCCAGGAGCAACGTAAGCATTAGCATAAGGATCTGCTCTAGCAGAAATGTTGAAAAACACTGGCCTAGAGACAAGCTTGATTAACACTTTGATCAGGAAGTTTTTCTAAGCTGGGGATTATATTTTCGTTATTACACTAGGCCTCTATGGCATTTTTATGCCATGTTTGTTACTTTATTGCCTTTATTCACACATGTAGTTCACTTACCTATCACTGTCAAGCAAAGAAATCCTTTTTACTTACCTATAAAATGGATGGCAGGCAAAAAGGAGTAAATCTCTCTTAGAGTGTCGGACCTGTTTTGAAAGCCGGGCGCATTTGGGAGCATGAAAGATGCGTGTTTGTGTGTGTTGCCATGGAAACCATGGTAACGCCAGAGCGTAGGCGGAGCTACCACGAGCCGGGGAAGGACTTGGGATCGCGAAATAAGCAACCATAACAACAAACAAGAAAATCTAGATACAATAATTTAAAATGGTTAATTTAGGGCGCGCAGCAGCCAGGAGGTCTTTATACGTGTGAAGATCTCCTAGTATTTCTATTAATTCTAAACATAATATTTAAATTGTATCACAACATCTTGTGTTCCATATGTTTTATTAAGCAAATTCAAGTACTGCCGTGGGCCTGATGTACTGATGTCGCAGGCCAGATCCAGCCCGCAGGCCCTAGTTTGGTGACCCCTGGTTTAAATTAATAAAGCGCAAATAAAGGTTATCGTTTATCTTGAGAAATTATTTGGGTATTATCTGCTATGCTTGTAATTATAAACAAAAGGGGACATACTAAATAATTATGAAGGTTTTTGCATATAGCCCAGTGGGTATGCAGGAGTTATGTACACAAGTGGGATGCAAGATTTACCCTCCCATGAAGCAGCATATTTGAAAATGTCATATAACTATTAGAATTAATATATATTTATACGACATTGTTTTGAATAATTGGGAGAAATCGTTCTTTTTTTTTTCAAACAGGTGGGAGCTTGCATAGTAAATCAAGATAACAAAGTAGTAGGCATAGGTTACAATGGCATGCCCATTGGCTGCAATGATGACAACATGCCGTGGAATAAAGCAGAAGATGATAGCCGAGATAAGTGGCTAGAAAGCAAATCTCCATATGGTAAAGCATTCTAGTTCTTTCTCTGGAGCTATCTTTATAAGATAAGATAAGATGCTTTTATTGATCCAAGCGAATTGAAATGTTTTATGATTGCATTTTACATTTTCATTGCATAAATAAAACAATTTGAACGTAAGACATTTAAAATAAATTATTTCACTAGTAAAAAAACAACAAAAAAAACCAGCCATTCAGTGAGTTCTTTTAGCCATATCAGGAACTTATTAGTTCTCATTAAGATTTTTTACTTCAAGGGGAGCACGCTGGTAAATCTGTATGTTTAATTTGTTTTCATTTGAATAAATTAAAAAATCATAAAATAATTAAAAAAAATAGAAATAGGATAAGATACTTTATTGATCCAAATAAATGGAAATATTTTCTTATTGCATTCCTAAATAGGGGCCATACATAAATGATGTCACATGTCTGGGGTGGGTTACATATTTCTGACAATGTTTGACGTGAGGAAAGGTGGGTTTAGCAATGTGACATCACATTAAAAGAAAATTATTGAAAAAAATTGCACTTAATAACACTAAATTATAGACAATTAAAAAAATTATTCTTTTTATGCAACAATCATAATTATTTACATTTAATTATAATAAAGCTGGGCGATGCTGTGCAAGTGCAGAAAACAGAGAGGAATGGAGGGGGATAGTTTTCACGTCATCTGTGGCGCCCCAACGGTGCAAGGACTAAAGGACATGATGATGATGATAATAATTTTATTTTTAAACTACTATCAATGAGAGAATCAGTACAGGTATGCGATGTCTGAAAAGGGCCTCTGAAAAAGTTACAGGACGCCACAGTGGAGGAGAATGAGGGTGTAGTGACTTTGACAGTCGTGATGATTTATGTGGAGATGGGAGTCATCGAATTAGGGATACCACGTGAAGTGGGATGGAACTAGAAATGGTTAACCGGGGATGGGGTGATCTAAGTAAATGTTTTAGGTTAGGGATTCTTAACCATTTTGAAGCACTGCATCCCTTCTCAATTTAAAAACACTTTCTGCACACCTCCCCTCCCTTGCATAAATTATGTTGTGATGAAAAGTTGTAAAATGATAATTAAATAATTTTGTTATTGTGTTTTTTAAAATCTAATTAACTTTCTAGGAGCAAGAAAAAAATTACCAATACAAGTAATGTGCAAACAATATTCACCAGAAAAACATTTACTGTAGCTAATCAAAATACGGTACCCGGTACATAAAAATGTTTTTCTTTTAAGGCAGCAACAGCTAGCAATAGCATAAAATACAATTTTTATTTTTTTCTGCACCTCAGAGGGTGCATTGACCCCTGGTTAAGAACCACTGTTCCAGGGACATGTTTCTGACACAGGTGCAGTAATGCGATATCCATGGAAGGGTTTGTGAAGGACAGTAACAAACAGGGGGGGGGGAGATCTGCAAAATTTGCGTGGCATCATACATGGATGGCCCATATTCATTTTCGGCACATAAATAAAATATGAATTTAAACATAGACAATTTTTTAAAATTATAACAATTTAAACACAAGGCATCTAAAGTATTTCTGTAGCATAGAAATCGGCCATAAATTAAGATAACTTTTTGTTTTGTTTTGTGATGAGCTATTATATATATATTTATATATATATATAATATATAATTAGGCACCTACATTTTTTTTAAAAACAAAGTAACTGAGTATCTAGCCTCTGGACCCCGCCTATTTTTAAAAGTACGGTAACTGAGTAGCTAGCCCCTGGACCCCGCCTATTTTTAAAAGTTTGGTTTGGTTTCAAAATCATTTTTGTTGTTTCTGAAATCTTGATTCCTATAGGTTGAGTAGAGCTCATTAAAACATACTCTATAATATAATTTTTAAAAAAGTATTCTTATTTTTTCCTTTTAATTCAAGGTATTCTCTTTTTAATCCATGATTACTTAGTCAAACAATGACAACCGCAAATGATATGAAAGCGGAACCAATCCATTGGCTCTTATTTTCTCTCCGAAGAATATATAGATTTTTCGACATGGTCATACCCCATACTACTTTCAGGATTATTTCTTTTAAGAAAAAACATAAATCATAAACAGAAAAGCCCATCTTGCGTCTGACATGTATTTCAAATTAAGTTAAATTTTTAAAAAGAAGCTTAAAACTTTCAATGCCTAATCTTGTGGCAGACATTAGCATTAAATTAAAAAGTTGTTTTGTTTCTTGACTGGAATTGTGGCCATTGAATTGAAGCTTTTCTAGAAATATTTTGTGTTAACTTTTGCTTCATTTGTTCTCACTCTTATTGTTTTACGGTACTGCTGTACTGGACTACTCAAACAAATTTTAATGTCACCTTCATTACTGGTAATGGACTTCATAATATTTTTACTTAAAATATACATTGCAATGAAAACTAGAAACTACATTATAATTATTTTAGAAAAAATTATTTTTTAAACTACGTCATCTTTTTTTTAGTGTGTCATGCTGAACTCAATGCTGTACTTAATAAAAATCTTGCTGACATAAAGGGGTGTATCATCTATGTGGCATTATTTCCATGCAACATGTGTGCCCAAATTATAATCCAGTCTGGAATCAAGGAAGTTGTATATTACTCAGACAAATATCATAACGAGGCCAAGTTCAAGGCATCCAGGTACTTGTTAAAAACTGCCGGAGTCCATTACAGGTAGGTTCATCTTTAAAGTCAGGAATAACAATTTAACCTACCATTCCATGATTAAATTTTTATATTTCCACAATCTTTCATATATCCATTCATAAACATAAAATCCAAAAGGAGTTCAATTTGCTGAATAACATGGACATCCCAATGAAGGTCAAGAAATTCAAACCATGTTAGTAATAATTTAGATCCAATATTTATTAGAAATTTTCCTCAAAATTTTTATTTAACCACTTCATATATAAGGAATTCCCTATCTTTCTAACTAATTGCTTGGCCAAGTCTCACACCCCCTATGAATTGTTTCACCAAGTCTAACACCTCCTATGAATTGATTTAATAAGCACTCCCTTTGAATTATTTCACTAAGTCTCTCACCCACTATACATTATTTCACTAAGTCTAGCATCCCTTATGAATATTTTCACTAAGTCCAGCACCCTCATGAATTGTTTCATGAAGTCTAGCATCCCCCAACAAATATTTTTAAAAACATCTCACTTTTTAAAAATTAATGACAAGGAGAAACATTGAACTTTGAAAATAAATTTGTGTCATCTGTGTTCTTATAATCACTTTTCCTCACACCCCCTGATATAACACCTCTCACCCCAAGGGCTGGGAACCCTGATTTAAACACAGTCTTTGAGAAAATTATTATGTTAAGTTGTTTATCTATGTTTAGTTTGTTTTCTTTTGACATATTTTGTAGGCAGTTTCGACCTCGCCAGAAGAAAATCATTATTGATTTTGAGTCTATTGAGGATACACCGGTGGATAACTCAAACATCCCGATTAACACCACCTGTGACAACAAAGAGGAGTTTACTACCAATAACAACAACACAGGAATGAAGAGAACCTTTTTTATTGAAGATCAAGCGGAACAACAGCAGTTACAGAACCTGGCTCATGTACAGCAAGTTGTACAGTTTGTGCCTCTGCCAACATCTCGTCATAACCAAAAAGATACACTTGAATTAAAATTTGCAATTGTTTCTTTGCTTTTGATAGCATGTGTGACTTTCTTTGGCTGGTATTTGTCAGATCCAAAGCTAATCCGTTGAATATAGCAATACTAGAAATTATTTTATTCTGTCATTAAAGTAGCACTAAATTTTATTAGTTTAGTATTTTTATTATTTTTTTAATTGAGGCTCTCATCAGAATTTTATTTTTAAAAATTAAAAATACTTAAAGTGAGTAAGATTAAATGTAAGATTTAATAATCAGAATTGTACAAAGATTTTAATTAAAGTGAAAAATTCAACTATTAAGAAAAATCCAACTACGTATCCACACTTTGCCATAAATGTCATTATTTTTATCTTTGTTCATTCACCGGAGCAAAAGGTAGTTCCATCTATTACCTTTAAGTTGCAATGATGTCCGTATCAACTTTACACTCAAAATCTGAGTTGCCGTAAATAAATCACGCCAATATTGCAAGTTAAAGGAATGGGTGATGCTACTGCTAAATACACTCTGTACTGCAGAACAAAAAATATTACAAAGCTTTTTGATTTACATTATAAAGGTTTAAAGTTTAAAAATGATTTCATAAACAGTTTCTTCACTGCGGTACCGGTATACAAAATATGTAAATATGCTTTTATTGCAGGATAAATTATCCCAAGGCTAGTATCAAATTTTTAAAAATATTTTCATCACAATGACTGATTACATTTTTTTATTGATAGCTGTTCCTTTCAATACAATTATGTTTATTATTATTATTACATTTAATGAACAATAATACTCATTATAGTCAGCCAAAGAAGAATGCATTTTTTTTTCACTACTGCTGTTGATGAAATGTGCATAAATAAATGTAAATTGTATAGAATATGTTAACAAAGGATGATAATAGTAACATAGTTTACATTTGTGAAATGTTGATGCGAATTTCATAACAATAAGACATTATAACAGATACCATTTTAAATAGGATACTGAAAATCTCTGAGATATCAGATTTTATAAATACTGGTATCTTTATTTTAAGTTGATTTTTAAAAGAAAAACTATTTTTAGAGAAAATATAAATTCATGAAACTATTTTTGAAGCTTATTCCTAGAAATATATTTGAAAATAATAAATGTACCTTCTTTTTAATATATAGTTTTATTTTTGGAGCTGTTATTTACATTTTTTATTACCTAAGATAAAATGATCACTCTTTGTGGTGATATTAATATAATAAAAAATGTTTCTTTTGTGTCTATTGAGTGGAAAAACTCAATTTTGTAATATTACTAATACTAGAAATACTCATCCAAAGAAACTCCAACAATTTTAGTTGCTTTTATGGTGCATTTACATAATATTTTAGAAACTTCATCTCAAAATTGTAACATATTACTCTGTATTTTAATAAGGTATAAAAAGTACATAAATATGTAAATTTATACATCAGCACAATGTTACAATTGAATATAGTGTCTGACCTAATGTAATTAACTTGTATATTATTGTACTTTAAAATAATCCTGTAAATATCAAATAATTTTGGATGGGAACACAACCTCATATATGAGCTCTTTTTTTTTTTTTTGTAAGTGTAAATCCTACCATTTTTAAAAAGAGATATGTGAACATTCAGTTACTCGGGCATGCAGAAAATGTACAGCACTTTCTAAGTCAATTTTCTAAGTGTACTTTTTGATGATATATATCAGTGGTCCCCAAATGGCGGTCCGTGGATCTTCACCGGTCCGCATGCCTAACGCTGCTGGTCCCCATAACATAAATATTTATTGTCAAATAGAAATAAAAGTATAAAAATAAATCATGCACCGGTCCCTGATAAAATTTCGAAACTTGTTCACCGCTCCGCCAAACTTAAACGTTTGGGAACCACTGATATATATGACTCAGAAACAGGATTCCGAGGCCAAGTCTGAAGTTCATGAACTTTCATGTCTCTTTTTAGTACCATCTTTTCTAAATGTTAAAAGTGTCACAAACTCGGGACAACATACCTGTAACAGGTATTTTAATGCTGATTACTATTTACCCACAGGTTTTACTTTTTTAAAATTGTGTGCATAGGTATATTCCCATAGAGGTTTTCAAATTCTCAAGTCGCTCGATTTAGGGCTTTTTTTTTTACTTCCCAAAAATTTCAGCAGGTCAGTGGTGAGTTATTTAGTTGCGCTTGTCTGGGATATGACCCTTTTTATTTTATGCATTACCACAAGACCCTCTCTAAAGTTAAATTTTAAAAGTACAGGTATGTGTATGTCATTAAAATAAAAAAATTGACCTGGAAGTGGATAGTAACTAAAATCAATATTAAAAAGAAGAAATAAGTTACCAGTACATAATAAAATGAACATAAATTACTTTTCATGGCATGTTCATTATTTTTCATAAATGTCTGAAATTAAAAACTCTTATCTCTGCAATCTGAAGATTACGTTTTTTGCTGAAAAACTTTTTACAAGAATTACATTGAATATAGTCAATAAATAGGTCATTTAACTAAATGCTGATTGGATTCTTTGAGCATTAATCATTGCAATTCAAATAAAGACATAGTAGAAGTTTAGTGAAAAGTTTTTTATATTTTCAACTAGTTAATTATTTCCAAAAACTGCCCAACATATAATCCTTTTCACTTTTATAGTCAATTTTACAGCTATGCACCATTGGCAAACATAAGTACCCGTTCAAGATGTGGACATGTTAGTATTGCTATTTTTGACACATGCTGTATTAAACGTATAACTTGCATTGCAACTCAAAAGATTTAGACAAATTAATGTCAAGCTGAAACAATAAAATATGTGTGAATCAAAGGTGTAATGTTACATATAATCTTATCTAAAAATATCTAGTGGGGTTCTGCCCAAGTTTTGAATGCCAGTCGAAACCAATTATCTCGACCTCGGTTAACTCGCCAACCCTGTTATGTTGAGGTTATGAAGTGGAACCACCAAATTCTGTCTTTGTCTTAGCATTTTCTCCTCGGTTTTGTCGATTTTATGTCACCGAACCCTCATATCTCGAGCACAAAAGGCGAGCATATTTGCCACTTAACCTCGGTTATCTTGATCCCCATGACCAATCGCAGGCTTTTGAAAATTATATGAACAGAAACGTGCCTACTTCAAACTGTAGTAATTGAAATGAAATAGCAATATCGAAGTCCATGCAATTAACTTGACACAGCAAGAAGCGATGAGCTTGCAAACAAAAGAGAGAGGCCTTAGTACTTGTTTTATTTATAGCGAACCCGCTTGCTAATAGGCTATCACACGTTCTTACACGTTGATTTTTTTTTAAAACCCAGAATCCTTATTTGAATAAACTGAACTGGCGAATCCGGAGCGAGAGAAAATAAAAACTCCCAAAAACAAAGCTGAAAAATATTTAGCCTCACGAATCCAGAATCATCCAGAAAAGTGACACCCCACATATGCCTTGCGTTGTTAGCAAACATGTATGTACATTTTTATAGCATGCCGATCGCTTCATCAAACAAATCGCGGTAACGCTGTTGTGTAAAAAAAAAAACTCCAAAAACACATGCATGTACATTCTCATTTATAAACGCACATCGTACACATAAAGAAATTTCAATCATGTTATGTTAATATATTGCCGCCATATTGGTTTTCGGTTATGTCGATCATCGGTTATCTCAATGCTTTTTGGCAAACCCTGAGGCCATCAACATATCCTGTTTCGACTGTACTCCCTTTAATGAATTATCTATACATTTGATTAAAAATCTATGATCATAGGTCAGGCCCAAATGGTTACTGGATCTGAATGATGGTCATAGGTAATTCATATTCTTTAAAAAAAAAACAAACTAGATGTAGATAATCCAACTATTCCTTATCCAGTAATGTATGTATCTTAATGACACAAAAGATAAAATTATCGGTCTCATCTAAGCCTTCCCCAGCTTGCTGTATGTGTAGTTCAGTTGTGAATATTGTCTAATGTGATTCGCTTATTAATGTAACTTATTGTATGGTTTGAAAGAAAATAAAATCTCTCATTCTGTCTTTTCGGTCAGGCTAATCTGATGTAGACCTGTGAGCAAATACACAAGTGTACAAATTAATTAGTCGAAATCGTCACTCCTGTCTTTTAACTCAATAATATTTAGATATTTTGGAACATTTTTGTTATCTCCATAACAGAGGTCGAAATTCGCTTTCTGATACAAGTGATGATAACAGCTATTTACTCCTTATAAATTGTAAATTGTACCCAGAATAATAATTATAGTATGCGGCTGGGGACCATCATTCGTGTATGGTGATTCTGCTCATGCTATTTCCTCTTCAATATTTTGTCTTTAGTGTCCAGTAATATTAGAATAATAAGTAGGGCCTATAAGTAAGAAAGTAAATAGAGCAAGTTTCACATTTCTAGGGTTTCTATAAAGAATGTTGTCTTTTGTGAATAGTTAAATGGTGGCTACGATCACAAGCAGCAGAGGCGGCACAGCAGATGTGACATGTGTCAGGTTTATCATCAGTATGTAGCCTTCTTGTTGAGTCATACTATACTATACCTACTAGCAAAGGCAGCAGAACAAAACAATTGTAACATTTGTAATGTTTATCGCCAGTGTGTTGGCTTTTGTTCACACTTAAATATGCACTATGATAAACACAATATAATTCACAGTTGTATGTTGTTGTTTTTTGCCAGAAGGTTGTCTTTTGCGTGCAGAGACTTTGGCACTATCAGCAAAATGAGCAGAGCATATATTTGCCATATTTGCATGTCTTCTCACCAGTATGTTGGCTTTTGTGTCAAGGCAAGGCATACTAATACTAGATCTACCATACCAGCAAAGGCAGCTGACCAATTGTTTCATTTGTTAAGTTTCTTTTCAACATGTTTAGATTTTTTTATCTAAATAATCTATCAAATTTTGAGCTTGTAGATGTTCGTCAGATTCAGATGAAGTTATGGAAAACTGTTTTTGATAAAATGTCAATTAATTTCTTTTCCCTGTGCCAACCTTTAAACTCATAATAGTAAGTGAGTTTAGATTTGAAAAAAATACTTACCACTTAATATTTATACTTACATTTTTGTTACAACTAAATAACTAAATATTTATATAAGCTTATTTTAACAGAAAACGCACCTGTTCTAATAAGAATTTTTTTTGGCTAACTGAGATTAGGGGCCGTCCATAAAGTACGTCACGCTTCAGGGGGGGGGGGAGGGAGGGGGTGTAAGAAAGTGTGAGGGTTTGTGACAGGGGGGAGGGGGTGTCAGGCCATGTGTAGGTGGGGGTGTAAGAAAGTGTGAGAGTTTGTGACATGTGGGAGGGGGTGTCAGGCCATGTGTGACGTCACACATTTATTTTTTAAAAATTGTATTTCTAATTTATTTTTTTAGTAGAATTTAATTATTAATAGCTTAAAAAATAATTTTCAAAAATTTTGTGAAACATTTGAATTAGTTTTATGTCAAAATAGCATGAAATGCGTATCTCCTGAATGTATTGTTCACGATTCCTCTCGCTAGCAGCGCTAGTATGCTGTTGCGAAGCCTTGTTTTATGTATAGCCTTGCCGAGATCAACAGGAGTTTTCAAAGTACAACTATATGATCTTTATTGTCCACCTTTGCAGACCAGCTTACTTGATCGAATTTGCAAAGTGTGTCACTTAAATTAAAATTTGCCTCACAAACAATGTCGAAGAAACATGCAGGACAACACAGAGCTCTGGCTCGGGAGAATGTGCCAACCCAAACTGTTCCAGAATCAACTCAGATAAAACGCATCAGTCCTTTGAGAATCGCTGCTAGAAGGCAAAGGGAACTCATGGCAGTTATTGCCAGAAGAGAAAATGCACATTCAGAGGATGTTGAGTGGCTAGATGAGGATCAAGTTGATTTGTCTGCAATTATCCTTTCAGGAAACGATGATGGTGAAAGATTGATGCCAGTCGTAACTATGGATGACACTTCGCCATGGATGGATGGTGTCCAGTGAATATTTTTTTAATTAAACATAATTCACAGGCCCATAATAAACAGGTTCAATATAGCACAAGATTTTGTCACATAATTTGTCAATCTAGTCTTTTTTTAAGTCAAATTGTGTTGTTTCGTTTTTATTATTTAATCACTGGGTGAGGTCAAGTTTCGCTAATTTACTTCTTATCCTGTGTAAAAAGATTGCATAATCGGAAATTATCTAAAACTTGACCTCACCTTTTGTAAATGAAAAAGCAGCAGATAAATGATGTTTATTATATCTAGTCTAATTTTTGTTTTCAAATTCAATCTTAGATTGAGTTACTGCTTCAATGAATAACTGACAACTGTTGACTATTAACTCTTCTACTATTAAAGTCATTTTAATAATGTGATAGTTCTTTTAAGTGACAATTTTATATTTTAATACAGTTTAATAGTGAACTGTTGTTTAGATTAAATTTTAATTAGGTGTTAATTTTTTGAAAAAAATGTTCGAAAGTGTGACGTACTTTAGGGGTGGGGGTGTCCGAGATTTGTGACAGGGGGGGGGGGTAAAATGGTCAAAAATAGCGTGACGTACTTTATGGACGGGCCCTTAGTGATTATTTTAAAATCAACGGATTTTAAAACACTTTTATCAAACGTTTATTTTAAATTGAAAATCTAAAGATTATCCTTTTAAAATACAAGTTAAATCAGGCCTGCACAACTCAAAATGTAAGGCGGGCCATAATACTTTATGAAAAACTTGTGCGGGCCGATAGAAAATAGGACAGGATTTGTGCGGGCCGATAGAAAATAGGCCTACACCACAATTTTCTAATACCGTACGTAATAATAAATACCGGTACATATTTTCATTCAAAGGCGAGACAAAAGTTAATGGAATTTTTTAATAAAGATACCAATGTATCAAAAGCCGTGAATCGTACATATAATTAAAATGGTTAATGGAAGGCCTATAGATTAAAATAAATAATAATGACAATACCATTAAGGACACGTAGATGATGATACTAGATCTATGTTTTTTTTACACATTTTCGAATTTTCTTTGTATTTCAGGGGCGTGAAAAGGGGTTGGGTTGGCCTAAATTTTTTAAGAAGATTCAAATTTCTCGAAAACCAAGTAATGCTAGAAATTTAAACATCTATTCATATATTATACTTCTTTAAAATAAGGAAAATCTTAATTATTTCCTAAATATATACATTTCACTGATGTGGAGAATTGTCCTATTTTTTTATTAAAATTTTTTTTTTTTTTTTTGAGTTTCAGGATAACTTAAATAAAAATCCAAGCCAGTTATATATAGAAAAATTGGATTCTTAAATGTTGAGACTTCGCAGTAGAAATAGAATTTCGCTTAATATGCTTCCCATTATTACTCCGGTAACACCGGGTCAAATGTTGTAGTTTGTAGCGCCATTAAAAATTATTTTTAATAAGAATTGTTTCGTAGACAACCATATTTTTAAAGTTCAACGCATGACAGAATCAAACGAAACAGAAAATTTTGTCAACACTTAATGGTCAAAGAATAATATAAAATAGAATAATGCAGATAATTGTACTTGATATGTTATGATGATGTAGTAATATTTTCATCAACGAAAATTGCCACAGGTAAACAACTGTTAAAAATAATAAAGCTTCGGATTATGATTTAAAATTGTTATTTATTGCTGTTATCTTAGTAAAGACCAAAGTAATAAAATCAGACAAGTTGGTCACGCCCACTTTTGATTAATTTCACTTTTACTTTTAACTCTTGTATTTGCTTGGTCTCAAGTCTGCAATTAGTTCAGTACACAAAAAAAAAAACAAAAAACAGTACTCAGACTTTGAGTCACTTTAATTTAGGGTTTTTACAGTATTAATATAACAATTTTAGGACAGTTCAATAATAATAATTATATACACATACAGTACGTCAGTACGTACATCTCAGTTCTAAGCCTAATTAATAATAATAATTAATACTAATACTAATTACTTAAATTTTAAATTAAAATTACTAGTAATATTTTATGGTAACTACATTTTCATTTAACTGGGAGTTGGAGTAGATCCTTGCTATAACTTCTAAACCAGTGGTTCTCAAACTTTTTTCCGACCATAGTAATAAGAATAAGGGGAGAGACTGCAATCAGGTTAACAAAATAGGAAATGAGTACACCAAAGCATGGTCAGACCTGAAAAAAGGAACGCAACAAGGAAGAAAAAATTTGTCAGCGAACAAACAAAATAAAAAACCAAATTAAATTAAAAAATAGCACTTAGCTGAGAAGGAGTATCCGAGAGGGCAGCAAAAGAATTGGAACAGAAAATAAGTAGTTGAGAGGTTTGATGAAGGCAAAAAGGGAAAAAAAAGAGACGTCAGTCCACTGCAGCTTTATTTACAGCTTGAGCATTTGCCCCACTGCTCCACATTATGACCAATCGCAGTTGACTGACTTCTCCTCTTTTCTTTCCCTTTTTGCCTGCATTTAATCTCTCACCTCTATTTCTTCATTATGGCTTAAGGTACTAAAAACAGCCTGGAAATCCTACTTTACCACTACAAAAATAAAAAGAAGTAGGCCAATTGATTATATCTTTTTTTTTTTTTTTTTTTTTTTTTTTTTTTTTTTTACAGAAGATGTCAATTATACAAGTTAAAGGAGCTGGAGGGACTGTTGGTGTGGATCGTACATCATTTGTTGGGGCCAGGACACCTCATGAAATTCAAGCTATGTTAAAACCTTTAGCTAAATTAGATAAAGTCATTTTTTCAAAAATTTTAAAAGGTTTGCAAATCTCTACATTTTTAATAAAACCTGAATCCTGTTATTTATGGTAAAAAATGGAAATTTCTTTGGAATATGTGAGCTAAGCGGTTACTGGAAATTTGATCGAAAGAAATTTCGTCGACGGTAAATTGATAGACGGAAATATGATCGAACGGAAATATGATCGAATGTAAATTTGGTCAAATCTTTTTTTCAGTTCTCACATTAAAATTTTCGTCAAAATTCATTTTGAACACACTACACTATATAATAAAATAAAATAATGGATTCAAAAAGAAATTTGAAGTAAAATTTTAATGTAAAAACTGAAAAAAAAGATTCAACTAACTTTCCGTTAGATCAAATAACCGTCGATCAATTTACCGTCTACAAAATTTCTTTCGATCCAATTTCCGGATACGGAGCTAAGCAAGTAGGTCTACTGAAATTTTATTTGTGTCACACTTGTGAATTTACCATCCATTTACCCATTCAAAATTATACATTAGAGTCTAAGTGTTTATCCGGATGCATAATAAATTTACTATTTTTTCATCTTAATTTTGCTTGAAAGAGTTGCTTCTATTCATTGAAGTTAAAAGACAAAAGTACCGTATACAGATACAATGATAAGAGAGAGAAAAAAAAACTTTACTCATAGAATGTTGGTGTCAAATATTTCAAAGGGAGAACTGAAACTGGAAGTTACCTATTCTCATATCCCATAATTCCCTTGTTTTTTTTTTTTTAACTCTTGAATTTGAACCAATGTAGTTGCATAGTGTTGTTGTTTCAAAAACTTTTTTTGTTGTTATTAATACCGGCATTAATACCTGAAACCATAAAAACCACATGGAGCTGAATTAGTTTTTCACCAACTTCCTGCCAGTGGTCTATCCATAAAATTATTAGGCTTGTCACAAAAAAATGTGGTAAATCTGGTTATGTAAGGATTTTTTTATTTTTTCGTTCATATTAATTTGTAAAAAATAAATGCAGCCTCATCAGAGTTTACTTTGTTAATTTGCAAAGTGGTTTTTGCAGTTATTGTTGGAGCAGCTTTAGGCACAAAACCCAGTTATCAAAGCATCAAAGCTCTTGTTAAAGATAACCTGACAGAGGAAACCTTTGCTGTTATTTACTGTGGCATTGATAAACTGCTGAAGCAAGCTTTAAAAATTCCTAGCTCTTCATTAAAAAGAGAGGTTTGTTGAATTGACATGTGGTTTATAGTCTTATTATTGCTGATAGGTGTGTGTGTATATATATAAATTAGAAATTTCTTCTACGCCTAATAAATTAATTTCCATATATTTAATTTTTTTTAACAGCCAATAAAAAGAAATATTTGAGTTATTTATTTTAACATGACACAAATTTAGTTTAAGAGCACATTTAAATAAACATTTATTTTGAAATTAGTCGCATAATTTTGAACAAAATAATAACTACATTATATTCGTATTCAGCACTTTGTTCAAGATCTCCAAGAACTACAGTAAGTTTAAGTTCATATTTTGCATTTACAAAAAGAATAGCTCATTTTTTAACATAAAATGTTTTTAAAAAATTGTAATTTCTGTCTGGCCATTCAAATAATCACACTGGCATTTTGAATGACTCAATATCAGACTAGCATTCTGAATGTATCAATTTCACATTGGCAAACTGAATGACTCAGTATCACATTGGCATTCTGAATGACTCAGTATCCCATTAGCATTCTGAATGACTCAATATCACACTGGCATTCTGATTGACTCAATATCACATTGGCATTCTGAATGACTCAATTTCACACTAGCATTCTGATTGACTCAATATCACACTGGAATTCTGAATGATTAAATTATTAAATTTATTTACATATATTTTTATATATGCATTCTTTTAACAGTTTCTCTCATAATAATCATATTTAATTGTAATAAATATTATTTAAAAAAAGAATCACCCTCAAAATTTTCAGAATTCCTTCAGAGTTCCATGAAGATTTCATTTCTTGTGTTTTTGGCCCAGTTCGAGCTCAAATCGATGAACATTTAGAATCTAACAGGCCTAAGCTTCCCTCCCTTGAACAGCTGGATTGGAGAGTAGATGTCGCCATTTCAACGGGGTAAGTTTAAAACAAATATGCAAAGGTTATGCATTAGTTTAACCTAATGTGCAAATGTTATGCATTAGTCAAACAAAAGGTACAAGGGTTTTGATTTAAATTTATCTCAAGGGTCTACAAATTTTTATGTCAAGAGCAAATCAGAAAATACCGGGTTCTTTCTCTGGAGCAAAAGTTAAATTGACTAAAAGTGGTGTTCTTAAATTGTTTCCTTGGTATTAATATTGAGTGGGAAAAGGGGGATTTATCCTCTGGTAATGGAGGCACATCCTCCTTCATGAATTTCACAACTTAAATTTAAATTAAGCTACCGGTACCTGTATTAAGATAATGCGAAACTCTGATTAAACTGAAGGTTCAGGGTCTTTAAAATTAAGGGCTACTGTGGCTGGTCTGCATTGGAAATTTCTTAAAACAAGTCCATCCTCATCATTGGTATGGAGTTCAGAGTTGGAACAATATGTTTGTTAATTTCAGAGTATTAAACAGAGTTCTTGTTCGTGGTGTCACCATGGACATGTCCCTCTCAGATGGCAGCATACACAACTTTGAGGTACTGTAAAATCATCTATTTATTATTATTATTTTTTATTGTTTTATATTTTTAGTAATTTTTTGCTGAGCCATGCTTTGAGAGTGATTTTGTAGTATGGTGAATTGATTTTATAGTATGGTGAATCATATCTTAGATATTTTAGATTGAGTGATGTCAGTGAAAATTAAGCGAAACAAAATGGAAGAAACTGGATTATTGGGTATACAAGCAAAAAAAAATTATGCTTACTATATGCGAGTAAAAAGAGAGAGCTGATCTACAGTGAACAATGAACATATTCAACTCAGGATGTAAATTGTCATATGATGTATGGTATATTCAGAGAAATAAATGACCCACATTACTGGTTTGAATACCTGTACATCTATTATATCTGATAAAATATCTTTTTGGTTAATAAGGTTTAAACTTATTTCAGTGACTTTAAATTTCAAATTAGCAACTCAATTATTGTTTACTGAATCTCATGACTTAATATTTTATTATCATTCATTTAACTAACAGACTATATGTAAATCTATTTTTTTAAAAATCTTTATCATTTTGTAGATGTCTGTCTCAAAGTTTCAAGACCTCAGATTTCACGTCGCTTCAGTTCTCAGTGAAATGGAAAAGCTGGAGAAGCGCAGTATTTTGAAAATTAAAGACTGAACAGAAGGGTGGACCCGAATGGATTTAATGCAGAGCTACCATATTTAAGTTAATATTTCCTCCTAAAATCCTTGTATGTAAAATTGTTCATCCTTTTTTTAAATTTTGTAGCCGCAGTTCTCAGATTTAAACTTTTGATAGTATCATTGACTTCAATGTTCCCTGTATTGATAAAACATGTGACCTGTTTGGTCATTAACATAATCTGTTGTCCACTCAGCATTTTAAATAAATAATGCATTCATTGGAAGTGCTGGCAGTTGTGACAGTCGGGCTCAAAACCCAAGTAGAACAGGGCATTCCTGTCCCCATCCATTTTGTTACAGACCCTCAACATAAGGTTATTATTAATGAATTCACCAGTAAATGTTTTGATTATATAAAGGATTAAACATATATTTTTGCCTGTGACACCTTAAACATGGATCAGTGTTAAAGTGGTGTTTGCATATTGTGTTAAATTTTCAATGACTTGTGTTGGGATGCATAGACTTTATGCTTTTTCATACACTTTTTGTTTACATAATTGTGCCAGCTGTGAAAAATTTGAAATAAATTTTGTTACTAACTTTCTTAAAAGTGAAAGGGCATTTTTAAAGAGTTTTTACTTCATTGAATAGTGTCTGCCTTTATAAGGGATGATGTATAAGGCATAAAGATATGTTTGCTTGAGGAGTCAGTGAAAAATTGCAGTTCCGATTCTTGTAAATACTGACTTATGAAATTCCAAAGTCTTTTCCATGCTAGTATTAATGATATATCTGTCTGTCATATCTAATTCAGTTGACTTTATTTCACTCTGATTAGCTGTAACTCTCTAAATGCGTCATTTCATTTTTTTTAGAAACATGCAATTTTTTTCCCTTAAAATATAGTAAACATGGACATCCTGAAGTTTTGTGAAAATATTTTTAAAATCGCAAAAGTTGAAATGACATTTTTTTCAACATACAAAAGTTGAAATTACCTATTTTTAAAACTGCAAAAATTGAAATGATTTTTTTTTTGAACTGCTAAAGTTGAAATGACATTTTTTTTAAACTGCGAAAGTTGAAATGACAGTTTTAAAACTGCAAAATTTAAAATGACATTTTTTTAAAGCTGCTAAAGTTGAAATTACATTTTGTGTCACATGGTCGAACAAAATATTATAAAATTTCTTTTTCAAGTTATTAGGATTTTAGGGTCTCCTGACTGATGTGCCTTTCTAAGAGTTACAGCGAATCATGGGTTCTTTCAAACTTATGTTAATTTAATGTGTTCACAACAGTTTTATCAGTTAATGTAAAAACTCAAAGCTGATTACGGGTTTTATTTTATCACTAAGAAGTATCTGGGTGCTGGGTGGCCGATTGTGAGCAAATCTTAAGCTGGTGGTGTGGAGTTCAATTCAAAAGCACTGTCAAGGAGGGTGCATCACAGGTCATAGGCGGACCTAAACAGATGGGTTTTAAGGGACTTTTTGAAAGTGGACGAGGTTTCACAATGACGGATGTGGAAGGGGAGCTGGTTCCAGAACGTGGGCGCATGGAAGTAGAAGGAGCGTTCACCGATGGTCTTAGTTTTGGTTCTTGGGATTGAGAGGGTTCTATTGTCAAATGAAGAGCGTAGTTTTCTTGTGGGGATGTAAGGAAGCAACAGTTCCCTTGGGTTATCCAGTGACATGGAGAGAGGCGAATTGCTGTTGGGAACCAGCTTATAATCTTAGAGAATAATCCCAGACCTTGAGACTTGAGGATTTGGTCCTGCGAAGTCTTTCACCATCGAAGTGTTTCACCATCGTCACATTGTGACAGATGGATGCCAGAAAAAAAAAAAAAAAAAAAAAAAAAGAAGTCTCTGTTATCTGATAAGTGTTCTATGTCCATTATTACAATATGTATATGTGTGTTGTTGTTTACTTGTGGGAAACTATTTTTAGTCCTTTAGTTCAGGTTTCTTTTTACTTTCAAGATATTGTTGTATCACTAAAATGCCAGAGATTTGGCTGTACATCCTGGTACTGTTATATTGTACTTCTTCTATATCTATTGGCAACTCTGACATCACACTCTCTCCCTCTGCCAGAAACCTTGGAGTCACGCTTACGGACACCCTCTCCATGGACAAACATGTCACGAATATATGCAGATCAGCATATAACGAAATTAGAAAAATCAGCACCATTAGACACCTCCTCTCCTTTGATGCCACAAAAACTCTCGTCTCTTCACTCATTCTTTCAAAATTTGACTACTGTAACATTCTTCTCTCAGGCATTCCTCAACACCACATAGAAAAACTTCAGAAGGCACAGAACTCAGCATGCAGACTCATTTTTAAATTAAAGAAACATGACCACATTCAACCACACATGCGGCAACTCCACTGGCTTCCAATATCCTCTCGCATCAAATACAAGTCTTCCAATCTTTGCTTCAACTCGTTCACTGACCCTCACTTTCCTGTCTATCTCTCTGAACTGTTGCTTCCTTACATCCCCACAAGACAACTACGTTCTTCCATTGACAGTAGAACCCTCTCAATCCCAAGAACCAAAACTAAGACCATCGGTGAACGCTCCTTCTGCTTCCATGGGCCCACGTTCTGGAACCAGCTCCCCTTCCATATACGTCATAGTGAAACCTCGTCCATTTTCAAAAAGTCCCTTAAAACTCATCTGTTTAGGTCCGCCTATGACCTGTGATGCACCCTCCTTGCCCTACCTAATTTTCTGTTTCGGTTTAATCCTGAAGTGTCAAAGTGTCCTCTTTTTATAGCCATTTTCATTGTTTCTATAGAATAGTAGTTACTATCCTAGTGTCTCATTTGTATTTACTTAGTTTACATGTTTTAATAACTGTAAAGCGCTTAGAGCTTTATGATAAGCGCTATATAAAAATGCCTAAATAAATAAATAAATAAATATTGCTGAAAATCGCAGAGACTTGTCTGTAAATTGTAAAAAAGGGAGATCAGCCAGGCATTAAATTCACAGTGGACCTCAGATTTTCACTAGGGACAATTAACAATTAAAAGCAAATGATCAAATAATAGTCTGAATTTCGAAAGGAAAAATTCTCTTTAGCCTGTTGGGGAAAATTAATTTTTTCAGCCTGAAATTTTTGGAACATATACATTTTAGCATTTTATATCTTTACTTTGTCCTTTTTATACCGGTAATATACATTTATGCAGAGCACTTAAACTTCTAAAGGTACTCAGTATACTCTTGGCCTTTTTCACTTTTCAAGACTTTTTGGATGTCACTCTTACATACCATCCAGAAGATGTCAGTCAACTAAACAGGGGGACCACCCAGAAGATTTCAGTCACTTAGGGGGACCACCCAGAAGATTTCAGTCACTTAGGGGTACCACCCAGAAGATTTCAGCCACTTAGTGGGACAACCCAGAAGATTTCAGTCACTTAGGGGGACAACCCAGAAGATTTCAGTCACTTAAGGGGACCACCCAGAAGATTTCAGTCACTTAGGGGACCACCCAGAAGATTTCAGTCACTTAGGGGGACCACGCAGAAGATTATGGGGTCTTCTAACAAATTATTTAAAATTATTCTTGTTACTTTAATGCAATTCATTTTCCAACAACAAAGTATTAAGGAAACAAATCCCATGAGCATTCTGGAAGTAAGAAACATTGTTTATTTGTAAAGTTGAATACAGAATGAACATACTGACATAGCAGTTTCAAAAAATGAAAGAGCTGTCATGAGCAAAAAACAAGGTAGGCTTGAATGGTCATACAGAGTCAGACTTTGACATTGGAACTGAATTTTTTTCTTTAATAACAACACTCGTAGGCTAAATATTGGTAACTGTTTCGTTCCCCTACAAATAGCTTTGCAAAATATGACTGCACGCCAACATCCTTCTTTTACAGCCAACTGATGAACTTACATGATAGCTCTTTTAGTTTTAGCATGTTATTACTAAGTGATAAAAATCATATTGTTTATTTTGAATACGTTGCTACATTCAAACTTTGTAAAGACTTGTTTCAAATAGGACAGTGTTTTTATTTAATGCATCCTTTTTTTTAAGAGTAAAAAAAAAAAACTGTAACAAAAATACTTGATAACAAAGCCATGACATGCAACAAAATGAAATGACATTCAGAAATGACCAGATTTAGTCAATCTTACACTTCCTAACATACACAGTAGCACACATACACGCACGCACCACTAACATTCACTGGGAGGGGAAGACAATGCATCGTCATCGCTGTCATTGTTGGATGTCACCACTGGGCCTGACAATGTCACCATTGTTGATGTTGATGTCATTAGGGGTGTACATGGCATCCGATTTGTTTATATACATGACATCGGTTCTTGACCATGCCGCAGACGCTCCCTTCCAACAGCTTGATGGCTCACAGTTTTTTATGACTGTCCAGCGCAGGTTTGGTGTCGCATGTCCCATGTTTTATCTCACTTCCTAGTACCAGCCAAGGGCAGTCACTCTCTTCTCGCATTCTTCAAGCATAACTGAACATTATTAAAATGACAAGGCAGAGTACTGCTCCATTTTAAGCTTCCTTTTCCTGAGCGATTGCTGTGGATGAGAAACATTGAGATATTGAGTTGATCATGTGATGTTTGTTGTCCTATCAGTGGGATGACGTTTTCATAGTATAAGAACATAGTAACATTCCAATGAAGAGAAAATATTTTAATTCATGACATATTAAGTTTAAGTAAGAATGAATAACATGACTAAATAGTTCAGATGCAGAGAGAAAACCAGTATGCCCACAGTATCTAATATCTTATATTGAGGTGTTCCTAAAACGTTATTTTAAGGTGTTCCTTATATGTTATACTGAGGTGTCCCTAATATGTTATATTGAGGTGTCCCTTATATGTTTTACTGAGGTACCACACAGACAGCAGGCAATAATTTACACATGGCAATAAAGTGACTACAGCATATGGGCATTAAGGTGACCACTGCATATGGGCATTAAGGTGACTACAGCATATGGGCATTAAGATGACTACAGCATATGGGCATTAAGGTGACCACAGCATATGGGCATTAAGGTGACTACAGCATATGGGCATTAAGGTGACCATAGCATATGGGCATTAAGGTGACTACAGCATATGGGGATTAAGGTGACTACAGCATATGGGCATTAAGGTTAACACAGCACATGGGCATTAAGGTTAACACAGCACATGGGCAATAAGGTGACTTGCATAAATATATTTCTAGTACACCTCTTTGTTACCTTATAGTCTACTGCGTCATATTATTTCTGGATTAACCCAGTGTGGAGCAAGGCTGGGGGCAAGTGGGGACATATATCCCTTGGCGCCATACTAGTTAGGGGCACCAAAATGGGCTTTGGCGATATTTTATTGATGAAAATAACAAATAATGGGTTTCAAAGTTGAACGGCGACATTAAAATGAATATTGTCCCTGGGCTTCAAACACTTGAGCTACGCCACTGGATTGACCACAGTCTATAACTTGGACTGTATTTTAGGGGGGATATCACTCAAATGTTTGAGCACAGCTATGCATGCCATAAGCAATAGTTAAATGCTACTTGACTCCCTATTGTTTAACTGCCAACATAGCATTCCATGGAAGGGTCATTTGGTTTCAAGTATGAGTGTGTGTGTGTCGTTACCTCTTAACGACCAGGTAATGACTATAGCACGTCACGTGACCTCAAGTGGAGACTGCAGATGAGTTTCTTCCCTTTCTTTTCTAGTTTCCAATTAGTTGTAATGCTGTGTCCTGTGGCCATGTTTGTTTAACCTTTAAGGTCAGGTATTTGAAATGGTCACATTCCTGCCTGTGAGGTTGTGCCAAGGGAAGCACTGACAAGCCATGGGGTTATAAATGGTGTGTTGAAGGGAAGCACTGACAAGCCATGGGGTTATAACTGTTGTGTCAAGGGAAGCACTGACAAGCCATGGGGTTATAACTGTTGTGTCAAGGGAAGCACTGACAAGCCATGTGGTTATAACTGTTGTGTCAAGGGAAGCACTGACAAGCCATGGGGTTATAACTGTTGTGTCAAGGGAAGCTCTGACAAGCCATTGGGTTATAACTGTTGTGTCAAGGGAAGCACTGACAAGCCATTGGGTTATAACTGTTGTGTCAAGGGAAGCACTGACAAGCCATGGGGTTAAGTTTGCTGTCTTATTTTAAATATAAAAATTAAAAGCATAACGGGACTGTCACGGGACTGTCACGCTGTTTTTTAAAATGATTTTTACCCCCTCACCCTGTCACAAATCTTGGAAACCGCCCGCCCCCCCCTTTTAAAAAAAAATAAAATGTACGTAACACTTTCGAAATGGAAAAAATTGTTTTAAAAATTACCAACCAATTAAACTTTTATCTAAAACTCAAACAGACTTCGCTATTAATATTAGACACTGCTAAGTGACATCTTCTGTCGGAAAACACTCAAAACAACAGGAATGTCAAAATCACTGTCAATTTAAGGTTGTATGAATATCATAAAAAAGTATGTAATGTGTTACGCCAAATAGGATCTTTACCCCCC